GTTTTCAAGATGTGATATACAAGTTTTCAATATATATGTGTTTATTATTGCCTTCTGCATACTGTTATTAGTGCAAATATTATAAGATTTCAAAAAAAAAAATATAATAAAGATGACATTGAAAACTAATCAAAAAGCATGTTATAAAAATGCAATAAAATCAAAGCAAATTAATTAATAATTAGAGGTGCATATATAAGCTAAGAGACAGATTCCCCAAGTTGATTTCAACCCTGGGTTGGGATGGAGTGAGCATATCCTTATAAAAATTTCTCTGTGCTTTCCATATGATATAAACTAAACTGTTAATTTACTTATTTCATGTTATTTTATAATGTATATTTTACATAGAGTGTCCCCTTTACTGTATATAAATTAAATAATAGGCACTGAAACCTTACCAAGTGAAGTGTAAATTTCTACTTCAATGAAATATTATAACATCACAATCCTATTATGTTTAATGTTGCCTACATAATGTCATAAGTATGATGTCATAATGTAACTCATTTAAATATTTTCAAATCCACTGTTAAGCGATGGGGCGAAAAAAGTGCTATGGATTAAAGTTTGAGTCATTTAAATTGGATTATATATATATATATATATATATATATATATATATATATATATATATATATATACACATGTATATATATATATATATATATATATATATATATATATATATATATATATATAGCACTACTGCATGACATAATTTTCTTGTTTTTCTATTTTTTGCAAAGCTTAATCATCAATGAGAAAAAAAGGACAAATTTACCTCAAAACTGCACTTCGTACATGTTTTCCACACTCATTACATGATCAGGTCTTTTCTGTGGCAGCAAGTTCTCCACATGTAAAACTGCAAAATAAATACATAATACATCCATGAAAAGTAGGATTTCAAAATAAATTTGCTACAGGTGAAATATTTGTATCTCTTGGAGCTTTAATCCAGTGGTTCATACCAACAGGTAAGATAACAAAATTTTGTCAAATATTCATCTCCAAGGGCTTATGTAATGTCCCATAACTTAAATGTTCAACTTATCACACTAAATGTTTATATAGCTTTGTTGTAATACAACTGTGACCTTCTCAACTTTTAAGTCTTAAAATAAATCTTAAATGAAGAAGACAGCATATCAAATCTTAAATGTATATTATCAATTAAACTGCACATTCATTGATGTATATCTAATATATATATTATATCATATACATTTACTTTATCCTCATAATTTGAGAGAGCTAAATATTTTACTGCCTTCTTCTTAATAAAAAAAAAACGCCAACAATTTTAAAATGAATGCTTAAACCACCATTGCTAATTAATATTTGTCTAATATTAGTGCATGACAGTATTAGTCCATGGCCTAATTATGTACTCGATTTTAAATACACTGTGAGTGAGTGAAATTTTTACACATTCAATACAATGTGTATCTTACAGAGATTATGCACTTCACAGTCATATAAATGATGTTTTCTAATGTTAGTTCCAAACATTTTTAAGGTATTGGAGCCAATTTAAATGCAAGCTGTCAAAACATAGACATGCAATAAAATGGAGAAAAGCATCTTGTAGTATGAGAGTTCTTCCCCCTGAAAGTGGGACATTCAAGTGGTGAAGAATGAATAACCTTTGACACCATCAGTCAATCAGAACACAGTATCTCTAAATCAGCCAATCAGAACACAATATGTCCAAATCAGCCAATCAGATCACATTATGTCAAAATCAGCCAATCAGATCACAATATCTCCATATCATCCAATCATGCAGAACACAATATCTCCAAATCAGCCAATCAGAACACAATATCTCCAAAGCAGCTAATCAGAACACAATATCTCCAAAGCAGCTAATCAGAACACAATATCTCCAAATCAGCCAATCAGAACACAATATCTCCAAAGCAGCTAATCAGAACACAATATCTCCATATCATCCAATCATGTAGAACAAAATATCTCCAAATCATTTTTTACCAGGTGATAGCTCATAGAAATCTAGACAAGATAATTGTTTGAAAAGCAGAAATAAAAGTTAATTTATTCATTAATTAAGAGAAAACAATTTCCCTGCAATATATAATGAAAACAATTGTACAGCAAAATCATACGTTTTTTTTTTTTTTTTGTTTAATCAGGCACATGCAGTTCTGATGTTTTGTTTGATCAAGTCTAATTGCATTATCAGGAAATTGTCAAACTTTTTGAAGCATTTAGAGGAAATAAAGAAGAGGTTACATATGCCACCTATAACAGCAAAGATTGTTCACCATTAGTTTCCCCACTTCATTAAACACTCATGTCTTATTTATCCTGCAATCTTACCCTAGTGTACAAACTCAGGAACTGCACTGATTGAAAATTTAATGTCTATATAATTGCAGGTTTTAATCTGCATCATCACTGTATAGGCAGCTAATGTGACAATATTTCTGGCTATATTGATTTCCAGCTTTTCATTGCACAACTTAATCCTCATATCCAAGATGAATCTGTGTATGCTGCACATAGTTTTTTTTTTTAATTCTCCTCATCTTCTTTGTAGATTTGATAAAATCTAGGTCAAACCAAGTTACCGGGTATAATGGGATCTGCAACAGAAGCTTTAAACCTTATCACAATATACTTACAGATGAGAAAAAAAAAATCACATATGGACTAGTTCCTAAAGCCTAAAAGTTCAAGGTACACCTTGCACAATTTATTTTAATTTCCAAACTCTCAAACATGCATGAGCAAAGAGGGATGGGAGGACATCGCGGTCATGCAACTACAACAATTCTGGAACTGTTTGCTCAAGAAACATTATTAAAACGAAGGGAAAATACAAAACCTGGGAGAAAAGAGGAAGAAAAATTAACTCATGCACATGCAAACATCTCCCTATGAGCTGTCTAACACCTGCACTTTGTGTGGCACCTGGGATTGCCACTTCAATATCAGTCTCAGCGCATACACAGCAACATTTATAATAATATTCAAAAAATAATCTTGTGTCCCTAGAATCTGGGGGATGGTATACTTTAAACCCTTTTAAAGATGAAACATTCAATGTAGAATTTATGCCTGATCAAAGTCTACTAAATAATCAGTGAACTTTTGGAAAAGCATAATACTGAACACAATGAAAATGATTAAGATGCAGTATTTCTTTTATGTACCAAAAGATTGTAACATATAAAATTTCATACTTTGAAAGGAGAGTCAGATTTATTGATGTTTCACATATGTAATCCTTGTGGCAAGACCTTCCTTTGGATACCAACAACTTTTACCCTTTGACCTTGACCTTGGAGTTTTGACCTACTTTTGGAAAACTTTAACCTTGGTCATAACTTTTGAACAGTTGGTGCTACAACTTTCATTCTTCACATGTGTATTCCTTGTGAGAAGACCTCATTAGATACCAACAATAAACCCATTGAATTTGACCTTGGAGTTTGACTAACTTTTGGAAAACCTTAACCTTTGCCATTACTTTTGAACAGTTGGTGCTAGGGCTTTCATACTTAATATATGTAAGCCTTGTGACAAGACCTTACTTTGGATACCAACAACTTTGACCCTTCGGCCTTGGAGTTTGACCTACTTTTGAAAAACTTTAACCTTGACCATATCTTTTGCACAGTTGGTGCTAGGGCTTTGATATTTCGCATGTGTATTTCTTGTGAGAAGACCTTTCCTTGAACACCATTAATTTTGACCATTTGACCTTGACCTTGATTTTTGACTTACTTTTGAAAAACTTTAACCTTTTTCATATCTTTTCAATGGTTTCTGCAAGGGCTTTCATATTTCACAGGTATATTCTTCAGGACAAGACCTTACTTTGGGTACCAACATATTTGTTTTGCATTTGAGAAAGTTTAACCTTCGCTATAAGTTGCCATACGGGGGCATCAGTGTTTCACAACACATTTTGTTTGTTTATGTAACTCCCTAACATGATGACTTGTGCATATATACATGTATTGATGTACAATATGTTATATTTTACAACATGAAAAAGCATCATATTCAAAAGTAGTCTCATTAAGAAATATAAAGTGAACTAGCTTCCCTCAATCAATGTAATCTCTTCAGTGCAGTGAGTGAACCACTCTCAACTGCAGCAATATAATGTGCTCACAGTTTTATCTCACTACAGTAAAACACACTTATAGTGAACACGCTTATAATGAATTGACACTAACAGCGAAGTGGTTTTCATTCCCTGTGACCTTAAAATATATTGTGAACTAATGGGTATAACAAATTATGTTTTTAATGAAGCAAAATTATCCATCCCTGGCACTTCTTTATAAGCGTGTTTTACTGTAATTGCAACAAAGTAGAGGGAACTAAGTTTTTATCAAATTTTCTAATGTCAAAGTAACCTTATTCTCAATGTTGATTGCTTTCTCTAAGGTGTATAGATATTTAAGTATTAAGTTACAAACTGAAGAAATTAATAAGAAAAGATCAAAGGTTAAGATCAAGAAAAAAAAAGTCAATATAATAAAATAAAATTTTGTCACAGCTGGCTGCATTCTTCATTGTTGTATAAACATGATAAAATTAGAATTCCTAACTGTGTTCAAGAAAAAGGCTAAATGCACAAAATAAACAAGATGCCGATGGGCCACAATGCTCACCTGAGTCACTTTAGCCCTGTTGTTTTGCATCAGATAAATTTCCCCAAAATACATGTATTCTTCTGTATTTTTGATCACCTTTTGTGGCCCAACCCTATATAAGGGGGCTGTGATATAAACAAAATTGGATCTACACTACCACAGAATGCTTCCATATTTAAATATGATTCATCATGGATTTGCTCTTGAGGAGTTTTAAAGATTTTTGCATGTATGACTCCAAGGGGTCATGATTTGAATAATTTAGAATCTACATTTCCTCAGGAAGCTTCCACATATGATTCAGCTTTTTTGGTCCTGTGGTTCTTGAGAAGAACATTTTTAAAGATTTTACCTATATATTTCAATGTACATGTAAAACTTCCCTATTGTGGCCCCACCCCATCCCCTGGGGCCATGATTTGAACAATTTAGAATCTACACTACCTCAGGAAGCTTCCAAATATCTGGTCCAGTGTATGGTTCTTGAGAAGAAGATTTTTTTAATGACCCAACCCTATTTGCTTTTCTTGATTATCTACCCTTGGAGGGGGGCTTGGCCCTTCATTTTAACAATTTAGAATCCCCTTCACCCACTGATGCTTTGTACCAACTTTGGTTAAAACTGGCCCAGTGGTTCGATCTTCAGAAGAAGTTGAAAATGGGAAAAGTTTACAGACGGACAGACAGCTAGACGGACGGATGGACGCCAGATAATGGGCAATCCGAAAAGCTCACTTGAGCTTTCATCTCAGGTGAGTAAAAAAAAAAAATTAATTTAAAAAATCAAAATCAAAATGAATACCAAAACTTTAACAAAAAGACTCCCTCCCTTCCTCCCCCCCCCCAAAAAAAAACTCAAGAAAATAAGATTAAGAGAAATTATGAATTCAATTTTCAAGGGAAAAAGCTGTTTAACTTGCAGGATTTTTTTTTTTTGGGGGGGGGGGGGGGGAGGGGTAATTTATCTTTTTTGAAAAACTACTGTATGAGTAGATTTTCCCAAAAAGACAGATATAAGATGGAAATGATGATCCCTATGAATATGTAGGCAATACAGTATAAGCAAGGTTGAAGGCATTGGGATCAAAGGTCAAGGTTCCAGGATTTTCCACTGCCCCATGTACAGCCAAATTTAGGACCTATTCCCATGCAATTGCAAAATCCCTCCCTTTTTTTCTAAAAATGAACAGTGTGTGCTCAATTTTCAAATGCACAAAATCTAAAGCAAGCTGTAAGTGGCCAGAATATGTTAAAACTTTAGCATGGTTACTTGGTCTGAAATCAATGGAATGACTAAAATTTAAAAAAAAAAACAAACCATGGTCCTGTTGATGACTGAAAGTTAATTGGTCTAAACATGTTAAATATCAGGATTGAAAGTTAAATAAAAGATCAAATATATTCATCATTTGTCATGTTTGTGTTTATTTCCTTAAGATTGTTATGCAATGTAATTTCCCAATAAGGCCAAACAAAAAAATATGTGTGGTTCCGGTTACACTCCCAAAAAAATCAGGGTAGGTAGGTAGGGATTTTTTCTTTTTTTTTTTTTTTTTTAACAAAATGATTTTCTTAATTTTTTCTAAATAATACCTATCACTGCTTTGCAAATGGCATTTAGATGTGGTGTGATAATATACTAGTCAATATTGGTAGGGGACACCTACATGCTAGCTTGCTTTGGATTTAACACTATTAAACACTTGCACTATGTTTTGCAAGGAGGCCGTCATTGCTGAAACTAAAACTTAAACTGGAGCCATTGACGGAAATCGGGGGAAATTCTGGAAAAAATATGAAAATTGCCAAAAAAAAAGTTTAGGGTCGGGGGTATAAAATAGGGAAGGTCGGGTAACCGGAACCATACATATTTTTTTATTTGGCCTAATTAAGTGATCAAATGTCATTAAATTTTCAATTCCAAGGGCCTATTGGTCCCATTCCAAAATTGAGTGGAAAATTCCTGATTTAGGTTAAAAATTATGACACACTTGAACTGCTCTCCATTAATTTAGCTTTATAATAATTATAATAACTAGTTAAAAAAATGTCACTCAGCTTGTTATGTATTGAGCATGTTGATTTGCCAAAAAGTGATCTATTAACTATAATCTACTGATTTTAAGTACTGATCAACTGAAACATATTTGCTCTTCCTCATCTTGAAGTAAATGTTTTTGGTTGACATGAACGTTTACTAATTGCTCTTGAAATTTCAATTTGGAAAATTTCAAATATACTTTTTTCTGCTGTTTTTATATCTTTAATCTATATTCAAGCAACTCTGAAGATCTTAAATCGTTTCAGATTTTAAGATTTGTTGGAATTAACTGACCATCACACATGGCCACTCTTTGTGAATATATATACATATATGCTTATGTTTACATTAATTAGCAATGGACGGTAAAATTTCTGAGGATGACCTCTGAAGTGGGTCGAGCTCAATACCTTCCACCTTAGTCATCAATGATCATGACCCTTCCTATACAATGATGGCGTAATACCAAAAGGTTTCTAATGGTCGACCTTGTCTGAATGATTTTGTATATTAACCCACCTGTGTGTACTATATATATGTGCACAGGTATAATTAGGTATATATGGACTGTTCAATGAAAGCACTTTCTCCTTAATATACTGTATTCTAGGGTTTAAAGTCCAGTGTTTCCTGGTTTCGCTTTAATTATGAAAATGATTAAATAATGATACATAAACATTGTCAACGAACTTTGTAAATTTTTTTTAAACCTTAGATATTTTCTCTAAGTCTATTAAATAAAATTAAACTGAATCACAATTTTATAATATTCTTTTCTAATGTTACATAATTCGCTTACCTTTAGGCGCAGTCTTTATGTCAATGGATTGATCTTTACAGAGTCAGCTGTTCTCCAGCTCCATTCATAAAAAGAATACCTCGAGCTCCCTCAACTAATTAGCATATTCGTGGAATTCTAAAAATGATATTTGCTTCTTGTGCGCATAATAACTTCCTCTAATAATTTCCGAGTAAAGTCTTAAGACAAATGAAGAATGACAATAAAGAACTCCAATCTGATGAAACATTTAAATCTCCTCCAAAAATCGAAGATACATGTCAACTTCTATTATGACGGGGTCGATAAATATAAACAAATGATATGATTGGTCAATATTTTAAGTGATATAAATACACAAATATTTCATTTTTTTAACTTAAAAAATCAGAATGTAAGAAGAATTTTTAAAAGATATTTCAGTGTGAAATATCTCCCTACTGTGATGGAAAAGCAATGATCTTAAAGTAAAAGAAATTCTGTGCGAGCCTTCACGTTTACTTTCATTCTTACGTACGTGAGAGCAGACGTGTCGGTCACGCACTTACGAAACAAGTTCCTATTTTCTTAACGCAGAAAATGTGAGAACGTCAGGTCCAGCAAAAGGTAAACAAGTGAGGTCTAAACCTAAAATATCAGAATCAGGGACATGCGAGAATTTGCAAAAGGTTGAACATTTATACTGAGAAAATTCGGTCGAATGACATGAAAGAGTGAATTTCATCATTTGATCATATTAATAATAGTATTATTATAAGACCGAGAAGAAGTAGTTGATTTATATTTTTTTTTATAATTCCAGAACACAGACTCATTGACTGGTAGGCGTGATACAGTGAGAATCTTTAAGAGTACACCACCCTGGAGCTTATGTAAGCAATTAAATCAACTTTGAAACATGTCTTTCCCTCTACTTTGCCAAATTGGCATAAGGCGCATCAGCCAACGTGCCAGAGATGAGAAAACCAGAAAACTTCTCAGTCGCATAATCAGGGTAGATCAAGCAGGAGAATTGGGAGCTGATCGGATTTATGCAGGACAAATTGCCGTCTTGGGCAAGACCTCTGTTGGACCCATAATACAAGTGAATACAACATAATTTTTCTTAATGTAAAAACTGATTCATCTATCAAGGGAGTAATATATCAGATGTTGAAATCTTTAGGATGAGGATGAGGGCATAGTTATAATTAACAAATACTTGAGAGAAGTAAATCATTTTATTAACAAAACTATAACTGCATTAAATATAGGTCTAGCTACTGTGTAATCACTAATTATCATGATATGAAGAGACTAACGAATGCTTGTCCTCCATGAAATTTAAAACTTTGTACATACAACAACTCAACACTTCTTCAACCATGAAATCAATTATGTCCCCATGAATCAATTTTTTTTTCTTCAAACCATGAAAATTTGACCCCATAAAAATATAATTTGTAATATTAGAGTATTAAGCTATTCATAAAAGCTTGATAAAGCTATTTATTTGCAGTTTTTCACAAATATTTTATGTAAGAAATAGACAAAATGTTGTATATTAGCATATGACTATTCATATATGTACAATATGAACTATCAAAAAAGCAACCCTAACCAAAGATAGTTCTAACATTGTAGTTTTGAATGCTTTTAAGTATAACATATATCTCCATTGTTTGGATAACTTTACACCACACTTCGCATTACGCTGAATTATTACTAGTCAATTGTTTTTTTGATCAGAATATGTGAGTTCCGAGATTGTAACTCTCCAACGATAGAGACGCAAAAAAGTATTCATATCAGCATGGAAGTGGGACAGATTGTAGATGTAGACAAACCTGCATATAAATGAATGATGGCTAGAGCTTTTAAAATTCATTTAATGTTATAGTAAAATGATAATGTCGAACAGAAACTTGCGTATTGACCACCTTTATAATTTATTTTAAGAAGTAACTGTGTGGTCACAAATCGATTGCTATATACTAGCTGGTACACCTGTACATGTATATCCCCTAAAGTTTTAAAACTTTGAGTACAAAATTTCTCAAGGAGACACAATTTGATGAGCAATTTTTACATGCTTGTTTTCCACTAGAGCTCAAAGTTCTCATTGCACCAATGTGCAACTTTTTGTACATGCTGAAAAACTAACAAATTTAAGTAAATAATATGATAAAATAGCTAATTAAAAAGAGCTATAGGGCTAATTCAAGCTATATAGCTTAATCAAGAAAATTTGCTGGATCTGATAAATAACAACCATTTCATTTTCCATAAAATGCTAAGACGTTGACACACATAAACTTTTGTACCCTGTATTTTCTTTTAAAAAAAAGCTCTCTATAACTTAGAGTTTCTGAATTTATCAGATAAACCTCTAGCAATTCTGAAAAATGCAGTTTGCAGGCCAGTTAACTTTTTCAGATAGGTCAATTCTGTGCTATCTCATTCTATTAACTTTCTTTAACATGAGTAAATTTTTAAACATTTTTAGCTTTGTCTGTGAAATGGCTGGACCAATTTTAACTGATTGTTTGATACATATACCGGGTACAATAGCTTCTGTGGATAAAGAGAAAACAAAAACTATAAATTTCTTTGTCTAACCCCCCCTCCCCCCATTCCCCTTTTGGGCCATAGGGATGGGACCATAATGATCAAAATTCCTACAATCTTCAAAAATCATCTTTTTTATTCTGGGAAATCTAGCAAGAAAAAGTGTTTACTTGTCAGATTATAATTAGCAGTTTGCCCTATATCAAAGTGTAGAATTGAAGGCCTTAGGTTTCTGTGGTTCAGGCCCTAAGGTGGGACTAAGTTGGTTGTAAATTGAAAATATGTAAGTTGAACCTTAATGAATTTTTTTACTCACTGACATCTAACAGACAAATTGATTGCTTGATTATAATGAGCTGCGCTAGCCCTCATCCAAAATTTTGAAATTTTTACCCTCTGGATCCCTGTTTCAGTGAAGCTCAGTATATGTAGATCATATTGAAAATTATCATACAGTGTACGTTTGAAAAACTTATTTTTTTTCCTGGACATTAAGCAAACAAATTTTATGCATGGTGGCAATAAGCTGTTTGCCCTTTACCAAATCGTAAAATGTGTGTCTCTGGGTTGCATGTGGCTACTTGAACATTCATCTAAGATTAAGCTTCATGAATATGATAGTGAACTTAGAGTCCTCATAAATTTGAAACATTCATATCAACTCTTTATTTGACTGTAGGAGATGAAAGAGCAAGAACAGGAACATCTGGAGACATTTAATCATTTGATTGTGGAGAAGAGGGTGAGACCCACAGCTCTGCTACCTCTCTGGAATGTTGCTGGATTTGTCCTAGGTGGAGATCTGATAATAATTTTTTTCCTAAAATACTTTAGTTGAGATTTTAAAACTTTGGCATTTTTCTCAACAATGAAGAAATAATATAATTATCCAGATTTTCAATGCACAGACTTTTGTTATGTCAGTAATCTCCTCATTTTGTTAAAGTTAACAGTTTAGATACTGTATTGTCTAGCAGTCAGATTCTTTTTCCAGGAAATAAAGATATTTGATTTACCTGTCATAAATGTTTAATGGACTTTCAGATGGCACAAGATATAAGTTGCATTGACTTTATCATAGGTGCAGGAACAGCCATGCTGGGTAAGGAAGGAGCAATGGCATGTACAGTGGCTGTCGAGTCTGTGATAGGGGAACATTATAACAGGTAAAGATTTACAGAAACTTGTAGATAGTCATGTAAAAGATGCAAACATGTATTGGTAATTGCTACTTGTACATTGTAAATCTATATATATATGTCAACATATAAATGTTTTACTTTGAAAGTAATCAGAAAGTATAAATACATTTACGGTACATTAGTTGTTCTTCCTCTTGCTCAACCATTCTTTGGTCATTTTCTTAGTGATAATTAATCTGTATTTTGTCATCAGTCAGATTAGAGATCTGATGGAGGATGATCCAGAGAAACACAAAGATCTGATACAGGTGAGATGTGGATTACATACTGAATTGAAAAACAAAAGGCCCAGGGGCCACATCGCTCACGTGAGCACTTTGGCTAGGAAAAAGCAGAAATCAGTATTGAGAAGTTTGAATATAAAAGTGGTTCGGAAGGGGGGGGGGGGGGGTTATAATTTGAACAAGCTTAAATTTAACACATAGTTGCCTTAATATATTCTTTATATTCCTTTGTATAACTATAATCCCCTGTTATGGCCCCTCTATGATGCTTTTTAGGTCACCTGAGTTTACTCAGGTGACCTATTGCTATCTGTTTTCGTCCGTCGGCGTGCGTCGTCCGTCGTGCGTTAACATTTGAACATTTTCAGCTTCTTCTCTGGAACCACTGAACCAAATTCAACCAAATTTGGCACATAGCATCTATATGTGAAGGGGAGTAAAAATTGTGAAATTCATGACCCCTACCCCCCTGGGGCCTGAGGGGTGGGGCTAAAACCATCAGAATTAATGCAATCTTTAAAAATCTTCTTCTTTACTCCTGGGCATCAAGCAAGCAAACTGTTGGCATGAATGTAATAAGCATTGAGCCCTCTACCTAAATTGTGAAATTTATGGCCCCAGGGTCAGGGGTTCTGGTGCTAGGGTGGGGCTCTGTTGAATATGTAGTGAAAAGCATTATTCTTAAAAAATCTTCTCCTCTGCTCTTGAGTATTTAGGAAACAAACAATATGCATAGTTATGATGAGGAAAGGTGTCTCTTCTAAAATTGTGAATTTCATGGCCCCAGGGTCAGGGGTTCTGGTGTTAGGGCTGGTATCTAATGATTATATAGTGAAAATGCATTAATTATTCAAAAATCTTCTCCTCTGCTCCTGGGTATTAAGCCGATGAACTAAGTACATAGTTATGATGAGAAAAAGTGCCTCTTCCAAAATTGTGAATTTCATGGCCCTAGGGTCAGGGGTTCTGGTGTTAGGGTGGGGCTCTGTTGAATATATAGTGATAATGTATTATTTCTTTAAAAAGCTTCTTCTGTGCTCTTGGATATTATGAAAACAAAATAAATACATAGTTATGATGATGAAAGGTGCCTCTTCCAAAATTGTGAATTTCATGGCCCCAGGGTCAGGGGTTCTGGTGTTAGGGCAGCATTCTGTTGAATATACATGTATAGTGAAAATGCATTATTTCTTTTAAAAATCTTCTCTGATCCAGGGCAAACAAACTGAAGGCATAGTTATGATGAATAAGGGTGCCTATTCCTATGTTGTGAATTTCATGGCCCCTGGTCAGGGGTTCTGTTTTAGGGCGGGGCTCTAATGATTACATAGTAAAAATGCAATAATTCTTTGACAATCTTCTCCTTTTCTCCTGGGTAATAAGCCGATGAACTAAGAGTATAGTTATGATATGTAAGGGTGGCTGTTCCAAAATTGTGAAATTCATGGCCCCTAGGTCAGGGGTTCTGGTGTTAGGGTGGGGCTCTGTTGAATATATAGTGATAATGCATTATTTCTTTAAAAATCTTTTTCTTTGATCCTGGGTATTTAACAAACAAACCGATGCATAGTTATGATGAGTAAAGGTGCCTCTTCCAAAATTATGAATTTCATTGCCCCTGGGTCAGGGGTTCTGGTGTTAGGGTGGGGCTCTAATGATTACATAGTAAAAATGCAATAATTCTTTGAAAATCTTCTTCTTTTCTCCTGGGTATTAAGCTGATGAACTAAGAGTATTGTTATGATATGTAAGGATGCCTCTCCCAAAATTGTGAATTTTATGGCCCCTGCATCATGGTTCTGGTGTTAGGGCAGGGCTCTAATGATTACATAGTGAAAATGCATTAATTCTTTGATAATCCTCTGCTCTCTTTCTGGGTATTAAGTAAGCTTACTAAATGTAAAATTATGATGAGAAAGTGTGCCTCTTTCGAAATCGTGAATTTCATGGCCTCTGGTTTAAAACATGATTCCAATGTGGCGAAGTTGTTGCATGATACTCAGGTGACCTATAAGGCCCGTGGGCCTCTTGTATATATTTATGACCAATCATGGATTTGTTGGGAGGGGGTATGATTTGAACAAGCTTAAATATGACACATAATGGCTTTGCTGATTTAAAGATGAAAATTTTTTATTGATATATCCTTTATATTCCTTTGTGTAACTATGATCCCCTGTTATGGCCACTCTATTCTCCTTTGGGGGGGGGGGGGGGGTCATGACTTGAACAAATTTAAATCTACATTACCTTTTTGGATGCCTTTATATACTTATGACCAATTATGGTTTTGTTGTTCTTGTGAAGAATTTTAGAGATTTTTACTATGTTTTCCTATTTAAAACTTTGATCGCCCATTGTGGCCCCATCGTACCCCTGGAGGTCATGATTTGAACAAATTTGAATCTACACTATCTCACAATGATTCCACGTACATGTAAGTTTCATATTTTCAAGCATTATGGTTCTTGAGGAGAAGATTTTTAAATGATGCCATTAATTTTTCACGAAATCAAAATTATCTCCCCTTGGGAAAAGGCATGGCCCTTCATTTGAAAAAAATTTAATCCCTTTTACCAAAGGATACTTTGTGGCAAGTTTGGTTGAAATTGGCCCAGTGGTTCTTGAGAAAAAGATGAAAATGAGAAAAATTTATGACGATGACAGACAACGGACAAATTTTGATCAGAAAAGCTCACTTGAGCCTTCAGCTCAGGTGAGCTAAAAAACTGACATATTTATTGTATTTCTCATTCATGTACCAGAATAAAAGTAATGAAATACTGAACCAAAAAAGGAAAAAAATACATATTTGTTTGTACTAGTTTATAGGTAATAAAAGCTTTATTTTTTTCACCTTTAGAAATTGAGTAAATTCAGAGATGATGAACTTCATCATCATGACACTGGATTAGAACATGATGCAGAAAAGGTAAGGTGGATTTTGGTTTTAGTATTTACTGTGGCAATGAAATTCTTTTGCTATTTTTTTTTTTTAAAAGGGTCATGTTGCTTTGCACCTGTCATTTGGTTGGAATGCTGGTAGACCAAGTGTTGTTAACTCAATATCTTCAGAACTCTTTGCTTGACAGACATCAAACTTTTAACACTGGAAACCCCTGAAAAATGAATGACTCCTGTTGATTTTCAGGTCACAAGTCAAAAGTCAAGGGTCAAACTCTTAAGGAAAAATCTTGTTTGTTCAGTATCTTGATACACTGTATCTGAGAACCATTTGCTTGACAGACATCAACTCTGGTACATTGGTTCCTCTTGAAAAATGGATGACCTCTACTGATTTTGAAGTCACAAGGTCAAACATCAAGGGTCAAACTGACAAAAGGAAGATATTAACCATTCAATTTCTTGAGAATCCTTTGCTAGATAGACATGAAGCTTGGTACACCCGTTTCCATTGCAGAGTAGATGAACACTGTAAATTTGAGGTCACTAGGTCAAAGATCAAGAGTCAAATTGGACATATATTGACCACTCAATATCTTGAGAACCCTCTGCTTGTCAGACATCAGACTTGGGGTCCTGGTTCCCTTTAAGGAGTGAATGACCCCTATTAATATTGAAGTCACAAGATCAGTGGTCAAACTGAAAGTAGGAATACACTGACTGTTCAATATCTTGTAAACCCTTTGCCCGACAAGCATCAAACTGGTACATTAATTCTCCTTAAAGAGTAGATGACCCCTTTGGCTCATGGGGTCATAAGGTCAAAAGTCTAAAGGAAGAAATTACCTACTCCAAATCTTGAGAACCCTTTGCTGGGCAGATTATATTTCACTATCATTAGAAACATTCTAAATTTAAAGTTGTTCCCTTTCTAAAATTGCCACATGTGGGCATTTTTGTCTCTCAAATTAACCTGTCTTGTTTTAACTTTTTTTTTCAAAATGGGTATGAAAATTTAAAAAAAAAATTTTGCAGTACCAATTATTTTTTGAGTAGCACAATTTTTAATATAATGAAAGCACTTGCAAAGCCTTTTTTCTTCTTTTTTATAGGCACCAATGTATGAAGCTCTTTCACAGGTTATAAAGGTTGGATGTTATGGAGCAATTTGGTTATCTGAAAGAATATGAAGTTGAAATTACAGTGCAGATGAAACATTTCATATATACATGTATGTGTTGAATGTTTCATATTATCTGAGAGACAGTGAGAAATAATGACAGTAAATATGGTGTACTAGTAACTTGTTTTGTTGAAAATTAAATAAACAGATTTTGTCTAGTCTTGCATCTTTGTTTTCATTACAAAACTTCATGAATTAAATGGATTTTTCATTGGCATCTGGCTTTTTATGTGCCTCATCTTTTGCCAGGCTTTCCTGTCTCTGTTAAATAGCTTTTTCAATCATATCTTTCACTGTTGGATAGTGGTGGCTTCATTTTGAAATTATATTTCTTTTCATAGTCAAATCATGTTCAGATCATACTTTACACACTGAGAAGCTGAGGACCATCAAACCTGGGTTATTCGATGTACAATAATATGTATCTTGGGTAGCAGCTGTATAGGTTGGCATTCTATAGTTTCACGTACATTATAGAGAACTGCATCAACATTATGCCAATGCACATGTAGTTTCAAATGACTGGGTAACAGCTTGTGATTTCCAGTAGAAACAGATATACATATGTTGACACATACCCTTGTCATGCAGTTCATTTATCATGACTGGAGTAAAGCTAGGGCAGCATAAGCCACACCATTCTTTCAAGGTCTGATGAGCTGTACAGGTTTCATACACCTCGCACAGGATCATGAGAACTGTGAAATCAGTGAGTCAAATCAATGTGCAAATGTACAAGCATTTCCATAAAGACTGTTCAAGGTACATGTATGGACCCTGGAAATAGGTTTCGGCCATGATGGGGTAAAAGTATTTTATCAGAATACATACACATACACAAACATACTATAATTCTCAAGATTAGCAGGGTTATACAAATAAATATGAAAGCATTCTCATATGGTGCAACCTCTGCAGCTATGGTGGGGTCAAAATAGGAATCATTTTAATGAAATTTTAAAAACTTTAAATTTTTTTTTTCAGAAAACAATTTTCATCTACATGTGTATTTACCAATATTCTCATGTACACCACATTAATAATTTTTGTAGGGTGAAGATTGTTGCATCATATCCCTTGGGATTACAGTGGGGCAACAATATGGTTGCAAACTTTAGACAGAAATATAAACAACTCCCTCCAAATACAATTCATTAGATTGCTCTAAATATGAACCTTTAAAAATATAATCTACATGTGTTTCCAACACTAATTAAGAAATAAGCTCTTTGATGAATATTAATCTTTCTTGAGGAGTGAACATACTATGTTACATGCAGACATCCTCTATATTATCAAAGAAAATGTGTGAGTCACTATTTACAGAAATAGATATGGGCGGAGTCAAATGCAGGCATTTCCAAGATTCAAATACTTAGCTGTGTCTAGAATATTTCATCTTTTTGCCTGAACAGTACTTCGTGTGGTCATCCTAGGTCTTTATTATTTTTACGCATGATATCTCAATGTTCACATAGAAATTATTCAAAATTTTCTTGTCATAGTATTTTTTTAAGAATAGTAACAAATAGTTTACTTTATTTCATGTACGAATCAAAATTAAAAATTTTATTTGAAGTTGAATTTGTAAAAACAATAAACATAAGCTCTCTTAGAGCTTTTGACCAACACAGACAAACAAGACAGACAAAATCAAGGACTACATGTTCACTTTTAAGAACAAAAAATAGAAACAAAGTCTCTAATATTTACTTTCACAAAATTTGATATTGTACAATTACATGTATATTATGCAAATAAAAATATATTTGTTCATAACAGAGCACATTTCCAAAATGTTTGAACTAAAATATGAAATTTAACACTTGCATAAAAATTTCTTAGATGTACAGGTAATGTTTTTTTTTTTTTTGTGAATAGAAAGTGAACAGTTACTGGATTTCTTAAAGAAATCACACATATTGTACATAACACATATACATGTATGAAGTACTAGTGACTGTTTTAGTTGACTACTACAACAAATAAATACACAATGTAATAAAATAAGGAATGGACACTGTAATTTAATTGAATAATAAAGATTGTGAAAAAAATAATTTTAAATACATATGTACAAAATTTCTGTTAATATACATAAAGCTTAAACTTAAAAAACTGCACTGACACATATATGTGCCAAGGATTATATCACAAGCCCTTATGAATTAGAGTAAAAATATAACACAGCAGTCTATATATGTATATACAATATACATGTATACTAAAAATAGTTGGGGAATAATTTAACACAGTAAAACAAACAGCTATGGCAATCTTTAAAAAATTGTTTGTTTGCCCTCTCCTAACCGACTGCCTAAAAAAGGTCTGACTCGAAGCTTTTTTTAACCTACAGGAAACGATAAATTTTTTTAAAAAAATTTATTCTGAAATTTTCCCATTCCATCAACAACTATTTTATTGTATCAATATCTTCAATTTTAGCAGATTTTGAAAGTTTAGGATTGATACTGAAAATCTGGGGGAAAAAAATTTCCCACCTACCTACTGACTCAATTTTTTTTATCCTGATTCAGGAGAGGGCAAGCATACATTATTTTAAAGATGGCCTTATACATGTGCAAGATGTTAGCTAATATAATGAAAAAAAAAATAAACAAATACAAAAGGGCATCCTTGTCTGATGCCAGTATCCACTCTGAAAGAAATCCATCTGTTTCAATCCAAAAATGATTGAAAAATACTTCACATTTTGCAAAAAGTAAAAAATGATATACAAGGGAAAGGGAGTACCTTTGTACAAGCACATAAATACTGAATTAGAATCTCCTTGGATTGAGAAAAATTTGTTTGCCATATATGGCTCTTCATTACATTGTGTTCCAGAGACACATAAACAATGAAGCAGCTATATGACAATAAAGCAGAAAAGAATGCAATAGTCTTGCACATGTATTTGGAAATGAAAATGCTAATCAAATAATGACTTGTTTTAAATACAAAACAATATAAATAAGTTCGGATCACAGAAGAAAAGAATGATGTCAAAATTAATTAATCTTGACAACAGTCACACATAATGATTTAAAACAGAGGTCTATCTTGTCAATTAAATGGTTTTGATGGTTTTGTTTTTTTTACTCCATATAATTTTGTGAGCCATCAGATATTTTTGGTAAGGAAATGGTATTGTTACTAAAAATAAAACAGGAAGGAAATGGATTGTTAAGTTTTACAGGTGAGGTAAATGGTATTGTTACCAAGAATAAGACAGGGAGAGAAATTAATTATAAGTATGAAGTTCTTAAGAAGAAAAAATCAATGAAATTTCCACCCGGAACATTGTGCATGACATAGATATAAATTCCTTTTTAAATGTAATACAATACATGCATTTATAGATGAGAAAAGTTATAGTCCTCTAGAACAGGACCTTGAAATTATAAAATTGCAAGTCTATAGTAAAATCTTAATGAAACTATGCACACATCTACGTCACTTCATTTTAAAATCCTATTGGTCATTTTAATTCCTAAGAATAAGCTTCTATCCACTGGTTTGCTTTTCCAACATGGCCAAAATCTTCAGTTCTTTGTCTTGTTTTTTCTTGTTTCGAGACTGATATAGCAATCTAGTAAAGATACAGTGATGGACAGTTAAAAAACAAGTACTATTAAATCTTTTAATATTAAAAGTCACTTTGCTTCCTAAAAGTTGTCTCAATGTTTGAAATACAAAATATTTTACTATCCACAGATTACAAGTTAAATCAAAATTTGCACATCAAAAAACAGGATAAGATATATAACATAAACTGTTAGTATATGTTGTATATGTAAGTAGCTCAAGATTTAGAGTATTCTATTGATAAAACAGTTTTGACCAATTAAAGTTCAATACCTATGAGAAATGATCCTGTCTATAATCATTTGAGTTGTAAGTTCACACTGGCTATCCAAAAGCTTGAATTTATTTCTACGTTTAGGTTCCTGGGGGGAAAAAAATCATAAATTAGACTATTTTTTATACTAAAATAAGTACATATAAAGAATGTGCAATCATTCCAAAACTGCATATCACTTACAGCATAAGGATCAGCTCCATCAATATCAGGCATGATGGGAGTTTGTCCATGACAGACAAGATCAACCTGTGTAAGAATCAGTCTAAAACAATGTCTAAAGAATGCCAAAATAAACAAGAGGAAAAAAAGACTTTATAATATAAGTAACAGAAATATTTCCATTGTCTATTTTATAGGATGATTTATTCCATTATGTACTATCTCAATGTGTAATCTTCAAAAAGTTTCTGACTTATAATACATGAGATTTAGATACTGCACCTTGAAATGATCCATGAGGTCAGATGTCACAGCATAGGGAGCTCCTATTACAACTTCTGAAACATACTGCAATACAAAGATTGTGTAAATAATTGACTGGAAGTACTGATCATATGCTTTGTAAGCTGATTTTTCTGACTTAGTGATCAGAAGTTTTAAAAGACAGTAACTTATGTGTCTTTTTTTTTTTTCTTTTTTTTTTTTTTGAACAGCTGCATTAATGACTTACCCGACAAGCTAGAACACTTAATGTTCTCTCATGTAAATTCATGATAGGGAAATTAGATCCTTTGTATCTATTCACAACCTAAATAGATATGAAAATGATTTAATTACATCTGATAGTACTAGATGTAGCAATTTTCTTATAAGATCTATAAAATATTAATTTTACCTCAACACATATGCCAACTTTATAATAATTACTAAAATCAACTTTGTGTGTAGTATTCATTGTACTAAGCTCTATAAGGTTGTCATACTTACAGGGTCTGTGTGAAGGCCAACTATAACAAAATCTCCTTCCTCTTTAACTTTCTCAAGGAAATCTAAATGACCTACATGTTAATTTTCTGTCAAGGTCAACATGGAAATAAATCAATTATGCAAACACTTAAACAAAAAAAAAAACAAACAAACAAAAAAAAAAAACAACAACAAAAAACAAACAAACAAACCAACCAACCAACAAACAAAAAACCTGACAAATTCAATGATTTATACATTTTCACTATATGTTCAACAGAGCCCCATTCTAACGCCACAGCCCCTGACCCTTGGGCCATAAATTTCATAATTTTGGAACAGGCACCCTTGCTTATCATAACTATAAACTTAGTTTGTCTGCTAAATATACTGGGGGAGAGAAGATTTTTGAAAAACTGATGCATTTTCACTACTAGTACACATACAATGTACATGTATATGATCTATAGAGCCCCACCCAACACCAGAGCCCCCTAAACCTTGGTCCATGAATTTCACAATTTTTGGTAAAGGCTATTATTTGCTTGGCAAGGACCATGAAATTCAAAATTTTGTCCCTTCCTTGCCAATAGATAGATGCTCTACTCTAAAATTGGTTAAATGGTTCATCAGTTTATTAGAAGAAGCTGAAAATATTCAAAAATTTACAAACAACACATGATGAAGGACAAAAACAGATAGCAATAGGTCACCTGAATGATTCAGGTGACCTGAAAATTGTTAAGCTGAGTTATCAAAAAGGATATGAAAAAGATCATAAGCTCCAGCAACGTAGACAATTCTATCCCCAGGTTTGGGTTCCTTTCCTGAGGAGAACTGGATGATTTTATTGGAGGTTGGTAAGAACTGTGATACACCAGTCCAGGGGCTTGTACCTTTACTACCCTGTGAATAAATTAGCATTATGAAGGTATTAAAAAAAATTATCCAAGTATAAAATGAATTTATTATCCTCCTCAATATATTAAAGATTCAGAATGAAGATTTACAAACATACTTAAATTCACAAAATATCTAACAAATCGGCTACATTAATATTAATTGTCAAACTATGAATTTAATCAAGTCAAGCCACATCACTTAAAAGGAAAATTTAACAAAATACTTCATGCATTTGTGTTTTTCCACATGTGATTTTATTTTATTTTTTTTTTATACTAGGTGTTATATTTTTCTAAAATGCCACAAAGAAATTTGTGATTTCTTTAAAATTAAATTGTTTAGAACATGTGTTTTTACAATACAAAATAAAATAAATATAACTTTAACAAACATGCAAATTAACATCTACATAAATGAGTACAATGTAGTAAGATAAACGATTCCCTATGTATATACAATCTCCAACTACTGGTCAGATCTACAGATAAGAAAATCCTAGAGGAGGGATGGGATGGTCACAAATACATGTATTTTTTTTTTTACATTTTAAAAGATATATGTGTGCACTCTGATAAGATTTGTGCAAGCAGGTGTATTCACTCAAACAATATACTAGATAACTTTTTTTGTTCATTTTGGAAAATAAAAGACTGAAAGGTGACTAGCCATACCACAAAAATCAATTTAGCAAAATGAAAGCCTAGACCACATTCTCAAATTAAACAAATTTTATACTCTCAATCACATATACATCATTGCCACATTACAAAACTGGGTCCTGAGAATATAAAACTGAGTATTTATAAAACAGGGCTGTTGCAAAGGAAGCATCCCAAATAATGTGCTTCAGTTCCATAAAAGCAATATCCATTCAATACAATTTCAATTTCAAAACCTATCACAGAGTTTTACCTTGACACTTGACCTTTTTACCTTGTCACTTATATATATACATTCAACACAATCTGACCACAACCTTTATTATACATGCAAAGTAATAAACTACACGTAATTACTGCATCTGACCTTGGTCATAAACCCTTTAATTTTGGGCAATTTTCCTCAAACCTCCTAAAATTTTCATTTTTTTTTTTAGTTTTTAAATTGTATCTAGCGCATTGTAAAAATCCTTTGACCTTGACCTGAAAGCCAATAATATGAAATGTTTCTTCTCTGTCCACCTATAATCTCTAGCCTAGTCTCAAAAGTCAAATACTAGTACATAAAACATATAACTTCCCATCGTCTTAGACCTTTTGACTTAATTAATCAATAGTTTTTATCAGTTGGTTACCTACGGCAGGGCTTTCAAAAAGAATAGAGAAACATGCGGTTCTGTTTTACCAAAAAATAGGAGGTACCTTGTGGAAGCAATTTTGATTAAATATGTTACCAAATTTTTCTCCATCAAATATTTGGGCCGGTACAATCATAATTTCAGCTGAGTAAAAGTACAAGTACTGGCAGACTTTGAAAGGCCTGCTACAGCAGCATCTACCAGCATGTAGCAAAATGACATGGTACTCAAGCTTTACATTCATTTGTATCAATAATATTAGTACAACTGTATTTAGGATAAAGGATGATTCTCTATAAGGCCATTTTCCGGCCTACGATAAAATCACTTAAAAATGTGATTTTATGTAACTTTAATCATTATATTTCATGATTTTGATGTTTGTTTTTCAACATCGATCACCTAAGTCGCGTGATTTAAAGATCACAAACGGCCGTCAAGTAAAGAAAAATTGAGGGTAGGTCTATTTACATCAAGTTTTCATGCATGTTTCTAGATGTAAATGATCAAAAATTGTTTATTTATGTCGGAAACATATCAGACTTAAGTAATAAAAGCAAAGATTGTTTAATTTAAGGCTAAAGATATTTTTTTATGGCAAGAATTTTGATGCATTAACATTTTGCATATTTTGAATGTAAATCTTTACAAAATGCACCTCGTACGATGTTGAAAAATGTTTAATTAGCATTTAATTAAAAGTATTATTTTATATATGTTTATATTGTACTTGTGTATTGTTTCTATAGATGTGGTACCTATTTTACGCATAAAATGCCCATGCAAGAAATGAGATTTCTAAGTTTCTTTTGAACTATAAAAGTTGTGTATCAAATGTTTAAAGCAATGAATGAATTTTGTTTGTGATTAAATCAAAATTAAGTTGTAATTTATAAAATATAGTCTACAATTGCAAAAAAAAATTAAGAATTCATTAATTTACAGGATGAAAATATTAATGCAAGTACATGTTAATAGTCAGTACATAAAACTCAGAACGGTTGTATTAAAAATATATATATCGACGTAAAATGAAATAACATCGTAAGAGTTGATTTGATTCAATTTAATTACGCATGTAAAACAATATATTTAATTTAAAATGCTATCTTAACTATAATACACAAATGTATGTATAAAAGTCGAGTCCCCCCCCCCCCCCCCACGGCACTCCATAAAATGGAGTAGATTTTCAACAGTATATTCCTCTACGCATATCAGAAGTTTTAGTATATCCATGGACTAACAGAGTTCTACAATATCCCAGGTACAAAATGGACCGTAAGAGATGACACTCCTTTCGCACTCTTGAAACCTGAGAATTAAATTCTCTTTCCGTGCTGCGTCAAGAACTAAGGTGTTTAAAACTGGTAGTGACAGTTCCTTTGCTAAGTCCTCAGCATTGAAAGTAAAAGTCATGGGTCTCTTGGATATTATCTTAAAGAAGGAGGTCCTGTCCCACGGTAGGTGTTGGTCAATACTGAAACCATGCATAAATCAAAATTGTGACACTTCACCTTAAGTGGATGATCTCTTTATCTGGGTGAAAAATTCTAAAATGACGTAAAGCAACATTATATTATCAATCACGTGACATTTAGGAACCCCTTTCCTCCTTGGCGTTTTATTTTCTAAGACAGAACTACTGTTCTCATAACTTATATTGATGCTACCAAAGAAGTGTGATGAATAGATTGAGTCCTCTCAACACCCAGTTAACAAAATACATGGATCCTATGTCACTCATACGGAAAAGTGTCCTTCTAAAAGGTCGAGGCGAGAATTTCCATCATGAAACCATCCCATTAGTAATTCTCTATCTATAAAAGTTACATGTGTACCCATAGAAAAATTAAGTTTATAACACAAATAGCAAATGCATCTTCCGGCTACAACAAAAATAGCTTTTATCATTTCTAGAACTAATAACAAATATGCAGTACTCCTAAGGAAATACAAATACAAAGAAGTAGCATAGATAAACTAAACTATCCTTATAAAAAAATATAATTATAATAAGTATCTTATATTCATGTCTTATAGTCTATAAAAAAATTCTTTATTTCTAGCAGATAGTTCAATGAGACTTGTCTTCACGTAATTTCATAACAACCAGTCATTTCAGTCCTTTGATTTTAGATTTTTTAAGTAAAAAGTTTACCTTTTTTGAGTAAACATGCATGGCTTATATTAATTCTTAGTAAATCAATAGAAACATGTACTCTAAGTGGAAGTTTATAATAAGAAATAATCTACATAAGCTGATATCCTTCATTGTAAGTAGTTAGCTTTTCCTGCAAATATCGTAAAAATGAAGCGAAAAGTTTTTATTTACATGTCATAACCACCTTTAACCAAGTTGATAATTTGGTAGTCACTTTTTATGTTCATAAGAAGTTTACATGCAAATTTTGGTGTTGGTTAAAGGTGGTTATGACATGTGTAGGAGTTACCTAACACACCAACCCTCTTGAGTTTTCCCATTACCCTAATGCTAATACGGACAGATAGTACCTTACTTTGTGACCCTATATCATAACAAATACTTTTGTATCATTAACCAATCAACATTTATCATTAAATTGGAACATTAGCCTACTGACTCATGCAGTTTTTAAGGGAAAAAATACTATTTGAAAATTTGAAGTCATTGTAGGCCGCAAAACGGCCTTATAGAGAATGATCCTTTAAAGAAAATTTTACCAATGATATTTTAGATACGAATATTGTGGTTTTACATGTTTTTTTTTTATCATAAATATTTCTATATTGTACATGTATATGTTTTATAAATGTGAAGATTATTTTTATGTTTGGTAATACATGTAAAATCTTTAAAAAGCAAACTAAACGAGATTAAAATTAATTAAATATAAACGTAAAGAATATAACATTAAAATACATTTTCTGTCATATAAAGTGCAAGCAGTTAGTTACACATCTGTACCACTTCCTACAAGAAAATGTTTGAAGATGTAAAAATAAAGTACAACCATGGTTTGAGTACTAGATTACATGTACATTTAAAGCTTTTTTGTGTGTTGGTGTCAGCAGCATCTTACACAGCAAATAAAAAATCAGAGCTTAGCAATGCAATTCAGTCTGCCACTTATCAGGAGAGAGAGAGTTGGTATGTTTTACTGATGTCATCAAGAATGGTAAAATTCATTAATATTTGTTTCAACTTTTCTTTGCATTTTAATTCAAACTGGTTCACAAAAAATTCAACAAGTTTGTTCAATAGAAACTGATTTTCAAAATTTGTGGAAAAAACAGACATTTTAAAATATAAAGCACTGCATGCATAGTGCAATTTCTTAAATATAGCACACATGTACTGTAAATGTATGGGGGGGGGGGGGGGGGTAGACTTTAAAAAAACTTTTGCAACTTCACTCATTTTCTTTCTCTAATGCCCTGTTCACACGGAGAGTTTAATTCAAATTAAACGTAAGTTACTGCTAATAAAATTTGAGCCACATTCACATGGAGAATTTAATGCAAATTTGTTTAATTTGAATTAATTTACTGCGCATTAAATTACAATGTAATTCGCATTAGCTCCTTGTGAACACTAAGCGAAGCTAATTCTAATTAAATTTTGATCCTGTGACACATGTGACACAAAATTAAGTTACATGCCAAGTGTTGGTGGTCAGATATAGGTATTTATGCTATTTTTGATTGGAAAACAAAGAAAACAAGAGGCCCATGGGCCAGATCGCTCACCTGAGTAACTTTGGCCATGCTGTTCTTTACCAGATTTCCCCCCTTGTAATACTTATTGTGGCCCCACCCTACCCCCGGGGGTCATGATTTGAACAATTTAGAATCTACCCCAGGATGCTTCCACATAAGTTTCAGCTTTTCTGACCTTGTGGATCTTGAGAAGAAGATTTTAAAAGATTTTTCCTATATATTTCAATGTAAAACTTGGATTCCCTATTGTGGCCCCGCCCTACCCCCGGGGGTCATGATTTTTACAACAAATCTACACTATCCCAGAATGCTTCCACATAAGTTTCAGCTTTTTTGGCCCAGTGGTTCTTGAGAAGATTTTTTAATGACCCCACCCTATTTTTGTCTTTTCTTGATTATCTCACCTTCTAAGGGGACTTGGCCCTTTATTTTAACAATTTAAACTCCCCTTTACCCAAGGATACTTTGTACCAAGTTTGGTTAAAATTGGCCCAGTGGTTCTTGAGAAGAAGTTGAAAATGTGAAAAGTTTACAGACGGATGTACAGACGGACAGCTAGACGGACGGACGACGGACAACGGGTGATCAGAAAAGCTCACTTGAGCTTTCAGCTCAGGTGAGCTAAAAATATCTATTTCTCTCTCTCTTAAAAACCACAGTCTGTAAAAATGTTAAACTGTGTATAATATTATGATATAACAGATTGTGTATTAAATAAAGAATTAAAAAAAAAAAGAAAAAAATATGTTAATCTCCAAAAACGTGTGTAGACACTATGACATTATTTCAAATGGATCTACTGCTCTGCGGTAGGTGACATGATTGAAAATGACACCATAATAACCTTCCTTAATAGCCTTGTGTCTACTGTAGAAATATAATGCACACAAGTTTGCTTCGCATTAACTGTCATGTGAATGCAATTTAATTCACATTAGTTTAATTTGCATTATTTTAGTCCACATAAATTTACTGCGAATTAAATATTTAATGTGCATTCATGTGAACAGGGCATAAATTTATACCTATATCATGTTTGGCAGACTAAATTGTGTGTATGATAGCTGCACTACACAAAATGAAACTACACTAAAAGAACATCTACATTTAATGTATTTTTTTCATGTAGAGTTTCAAAAACAAAGGAAATGATATTTCACTTTTAGATTTAAAGTTTAGTGAAAAATAACTTACATTTGGTGATGCCATGCTCTATTTATATTTACAAACTATATTTACATAATTTGGACATGAACTCTCTTCACATCTACTCTTTTTTTTTTCTTCAGCAAGAAATTATCTCCCATTTCACTCAGAACGTAGACTGAACATTTTGCTTTCTTAATTTGAAAATTGTCTCAAGACCAGCTGATATTAAGACAAAATTTGGAGTGTTGCTGGATTTCAGCAACTCTTATACAGGTGACTCTCGATGGCTCGAACTCCGATCTCTCGAAATTCTCGATCTCTCGAAGTTGACCTCCGGTCCCGTTTTTTTTCCTCTATATAACTAAGCAAATTTACTTCTGATCTCTCGAAGTCCTCTATCTCTCGAACCAAGACCTGGGTCCCGTTACACACATTTCATTGTTTTTTACTCTCTATCTCTCGAAGTTTGATTGCGCGTGTGTACCCGCCAATCAAGCGTAAAATTAATGCAGCTTGGATTTACCTGGATAACAGTGAAAGCCTGGGGCTGGCATGGAGGTGTTAATTCGGTGTTTACATAGATGACACTATTATACCTGTGAGCATCCGAGTGTTGATATAATTAATTGGTCATAAATGGTAAATTATAAACGAATTGTTTCACAACTTATTTTGACTTGACAGCGAGACGATAATTTTTAGAAAATAATTTAAGAGACGTGTCAATAATTTTCCATAGGATATGAAGTTTTATTAGTCTACAAAATCCCAGTATGACAAACATTGCACAAGAAATCGTATCTCAAGAACTGAATACCGATTTATTAAATACGAGAAATCTGGTGAAGAACCCGATCAAGCCTAGGGGGTAGCCACATCGACGATTGCTATTCAGGTTTCATGTAATCATGAAATGAGAACAAATAAATATTGAAACTTAAAGAGATCGTTTTATTTATTCAAAATACGATCATTGTTGTTGAAATCAAGTGAAATACCTGTAAAATACGAATGAAAACGTGCAATGACATTATCAACATATACTTCCGGTATTTATGATAGTAGCACAATGATGATCGGAACTGAAAATTCTGGATTTTATTCACTTTCTATCTCTCGAACCCCTCGATCTCTCGAACTTTTCTTGCGGTCCCTTGAACTTCGAGAGATCAAGAGTCACCTGTATATACTAATTGGGACATACATGAAGAGAAGACTAGATAACTGTGACCAGATAGGTAAAAGCAATTAACAACTTAAACTGAATACTGGTACATTTATATCAGGTACCCACCAACTTGATACGTGTATATTACAAATGCATCTAAATCTTATGAAACTGAATTTTACTGCACTACACTAAAAATAACTTGATAAAAAATCATATTTCACATATTATCTATCTCTAAATAATATGCTCAAAACACATGTATCAGTGGCTACTTTGAATAAGGATGAAAATTGCTTCATTATTTTTACACATAAAAAAAATATGATGTGACTAAAAACACTTGGTTCTCACATTTCACATCAATTTTGGTATAGATGGGCAGGGCATGAGAGACTGCAAAGTATTTCAAAAACAGAAACTTTGGCCTTTATTTGTTGTTTTTTTTTTAATTCTTTCATTGATTATATTTTATTGAATGTTCATCCAGCATATGAAAATTTCTATCATCTTCTTTAATACACGACACAATTTAGCTATCAAGTGAAATGTACTTTAACCAGAAAATTTTCGTGAGATATTTGAAGTATGATGACCTTTTTGTACTTACTGATCCAATGTCCCCTGCCTGGGCCTTGTCTACAGGTTTTTCTTCATCTCTTTCATGGTGAGTTTTTGTCACCAGTAACATCCTAAAAAATAATTACATATGAACAAAGATAGAATCCTGTCAGTGATCAATTTATTGCCATCGTTGATGTATGACCTTACCCTCACCCATCAGATTTTGTTGATATTGTATACACATATACTGTGGTTTCATTAATATTCGTGGGCATCAATTTTCGTGGATTTAGTAAATATCACTGTTTCGAGGATACGTAAATTCGTGGATAATGATCATACAACATAATAAAATTGTCACCTTTTCATTTTATTTTTTTATTTAATCTCCATAAGCTTCAGCATGAATCTTCACTCCATTTACAATGTTAAGAGAACATTTACTAACAGATGAACTCTTAAACTTAAAGTTTTTATTTTTTACTCATCTGTATTTTTAAAAGTCGGAATCTTCAAGTGTTTACAATGCAGTGCTCATTGTATATAACAATAAAGGTAGAGGAATTCCAAATACTGTCTCCATTGTAAGACTTTGATCCCGGTTGGCAAATTAAATACTAGTATCAAATATTGAAACTGATTATTAAAAACAATTAATTAAAATAGACTTTAATTTAATCAACATTTCTGTTAAAAGTGTACAAGTATCTTAAAATATCAAGACAAGTTGAATTTTATCTTTTAGGCACACATACGGACGATAATTAAATGCGGCAACAGGGTATTAATTATTAAGTACCTAGATTTACAAAATAGTGTTAGAGACAGACTTATTTTCACATGCACAACATGTTGTTTCTGAACTTGACAGTGACATCTAGACCCCTTTGTTTGTGGATCTCCGAACAAACACATCCACGCTCGCTCAGATACGACTCAATGCTTAAACATACAAAATTGACGACAAACAAGCCTTGAAAGGCTTCAATTTGGCAAGACTTCCGCAACATACATACCCGTTTTCTAATGTTTAACAAAAAAATTCCTAAATAAAAGTCAAATTAACATTGAATTGTGTTTATAATTTGCATGATTTAAGCAAGTTAAGAACAGAAAGTAATTAATTATTTCTACCGAGTTTTTTATTTTACGATAATTTGTGTTTTCATTGTGCAGGTGATTATTGGTGTTGGACCCTTAGATTGTTTGAAAATAACGACTTTACATCTAATCTATCATCCTTTGTGTTAATATACCACTGATTGGTATATGCACCGGCAGCACCGCGTTTACAGTTCTATGTGTTGTTTATCTCCATGTAGAATACTTATATAAATTGATTGAAAATTTCCAGAAAATTATCTAATATTTCTTCTTTTTTTTTTTTAAATATTCTTAAAAATGATAAAGCCAACCTGTTCGGAAAGTAAGGGGGTGGGGGGTAATGGCATAAATTAATGAAAGTCGTAATAGGCTTTTTAAAGGTTTATCATAAATCAAAGTGGAGGCACCAAACTTCGATGAACAATTGATTTCGTGGATCGACCCAACAACGAAATCCACGAAAATTGGTGTTCCAGGAATAATGATGAAACCACAGTACCTTGTTTTGGCCAAGATTTACAAAACTTTACACAAACAAAATGTATCTGTGAAACACTTTCTTCTGATGTCAACACATTTCCACTTGACCTTTCAGATCAACACATGAAAATTACCTGTCCTGAACCTTTGACCTTGACCTTCAACCTAGCATTATGAAGTCACCAACTTATAAATGTTCAAAGATGACTAAAAATAATGTTTCATCTTCAATCTCCACCAAAATTTGTTGTGTTTATATATTATGTGAAATGGGTATATGACTACTGATACTTTTAAAGAAAAAGCTTACAGGGTTGTTCCATCTTTAATTTCATGAAAGCTTAACTTCATCTTATTTTAAAAATCTTTCGTTTAATACATATTTTAGCTATCATATAACATTGTAACTCTGTAATAATTCCATACATCCATACCTTCCAACAAGATCGGTTGTGGATACACCAGCTGTTCTCTTGCATTCTCTGTAATACAGGAAATCAGACTCTCAGTGAAAGCAACACAAAATTTCAGAATTTAAAGTAAGAGATAACTGATGTTACTAGAGAAACCTGGCAAGACAATGCAAATGCAAAAACAACATAGATCTGGCAAAAAAGAATAAAAGTATAAACCATAAAGCATCAGAAAGAAGATACAAAATTACAAAATTTTTCATGTACACTAGAAAAATTTCTTACACACCACTTTATATTCTCATCTGTATACAGATCATCTGTCTAATGAGCAAGAAAATTTAATATGCCATTTTGTCTAATGCAGCCAAATTTGCAGATTTCTTGGTGTCAAATCAAGACCCTCGAATGGCCTTCCTCTCTGCAAACCAATTTTCAAAGCTGTCTGCATACTATTTTTGTACAGATAATTTAACAAGTTGGAGGTTACCAATGGTGGCCAGTGAGGATGCAGCAATGGTAACATCATTATTATTATATTATATAAATTAAGTAGAGCAATATGTCTCTCATAATGCCTAGTAGTTATCCAGTGCTTTGGCACCAGTACCCGGTCCACCACACTTTTGGTTGCCACAAATTTTCGGTACAATCTTGCACTAGTCGCGTGGTGCCTGTTGAGTGTTGCGGTCACCAACAGAAATCATTTTTATATTTGTTAATCTCAGCATTTTTAACTAGAAGAAGTAAAACTTTTAAAAAAAATTTTCCCCAAACTTCTTTAAAGGGACACCCTGAGTGCCCTACCACGTCCTTCTTAGCCCAAATGCTGATTACGGTGTCAGTTTTTTTCTCACTTTTTACAAACGTAAAGAACACAAAGAAGAAAATAAGAATCTTTTCCTCTAACAATTGTGAACCCAATTTTCATGCAAGCCATTTTAATGAAATGAAAAAAATTATCAGTAAAAATTGAATTCACTTATCAGTTTAGACATTTAAAAGTCTTAATTTTAACTATTGCAACAAATTTATACATTAAATACAGCATAAACAAATTCTGGAAAGCTTAATACCAATTTTCTATGGTGGTGTGTAAGCAATTTTGTCTAGTGTATAATAATTATGAAAATTACCTCATTTTTAATATCTGATTATTTTGAAAATAACAGAAGCACAGAGGTTCATTTGTTACGTTTCTCTTGATACAAACTTGAAAGAAATTCCAATAAAGACTGTAGTTTTAAGAAATTCCAATAAATAATTTTAGGACTCTGAGGCTATAATAATTCATTTTCTAAAAAATGTACTTTGAATTAAAAAGGGGTTACTTGTATTTTCCAGCTGCCTTGACCAGGTGGTACGTATCTGTTCCATCAGCTGTCACTGTGATGTCATCTGTAATTGAAAAAAAAAATGAAACAAACTGACACATTTTATCTGATAAATAACACTGTATGGATCTCAGTGTGAGTTATTTCCCTTTAAATATGCCATGATTTTATTTTACAGCATTGTTTACATACCTCCATGTACACAAAAGTCACAGTTGTATTTTTCCAGTGTTTCTAGGGTTGTCACATATGGAGCATCTTCTACAACCTGTCAAAGACATTCCTATTTGACAATCATCATAATTATTTAAGCTATTAATTATTTAATTTATACATGTATATAAAAATCTTCGAGCAAATAAGCATGTAAAAGACTTTTTTTAATAAAAAAAACCATAAGTAATAAAAGATTACAAAGCTCACATCCCTAGATGCATCATCAATGCAAGTTTGGTCCAGGCAGGGCTTACAGTTACTTGGGAATGGACTTGCTCCTAAAAGTTTAACGGGGATGCCAACGCTAACACCATAAGTAAAGCATAAGCTCATCTTGAGTGAGCACTGTGAGCTAAAAATGATTTAATTAAATGATGAGTAAATAGCATTACAAAACTATACATAAGAAATTTTAAGGTAATGTAGAAGGCCATTCGCAAAACAAAAGGAAGGTATTCAGTCTAATAAAAGTACACAAGATAAAACATTAAGTTTCTTTCTTTTGTTGAAAAGTATTATTTACAATTTATAGCAGCTATCATTATACACAGGATCTAATTACATTACAAACCACAAGGACATTGATTTGAAGTTATCTCCACTGTGAATTGAAAGATAGTAGCTGTCAGTTCTTGACAACTCAAGCATGATGATCAATGTGCTTGTCTTCATCATCACAAACTGACATAAATAAAAGAAAATCAATGATGATCAAATCTCTACATCTGTTTTACCTCATCCACCCACTTAATGGCTCGCACCATCTTGTATCTCTCTTTTTCATTGTACACAGGCGGGCCCTTGTGTTTGGAAATTTCCGCTGTAAAATTAAAAAACAGAATCAATTTTGTTTTAATTGAACAGTTCCTTTAAATGACAAATATTCTAATGTGTAAGAGAATGATAAGCTGAGCTATGAATTAACAACATATTACTATTTGTATTATTGTAGATGGCTTTGATATACAAGGATTTATAAAATGTTATAGTAATGCCTTTATAAACAGATAAAGCACATCAATTAGATTCTTCCACTTTATAGAAAATATAAATGTTGAATTATTTGGTATATGCCAATAATTTACCAATGAATAGTCTTTGAAATATTTCTCATTACACTTTTTCTCTCAATTCACAATGTACCTCAAGACCTGAAGACAGTGTATGACTACACATAAAATAATTTGGTGATTAAAAACTCCTCTATCACAGTACATCAGTCTTCGACAAATCCCGGGAGTCCGAAGCCCGGGACCTGGTAAAATTGGAAGCGGGCATGTGGAAATTGCATACTTACAAGCCTGAAGGGCATGTAAATTCTGAGGCCTAAGCCTCCATATTATCAAATTAAATAATACCAATAACATTAAATGTACTTAAAAGTCTTATTTTTCATCTAAAGTGGAGCACCAAATAAAATTTTAACGATAGTTTATTCTACCGCGATTTCCAAGGAACTCTTTTGCAAAGGAAACAAAAAAAGTACACATGTTGAAAACAATACGTGACTTCCAAGGAACTCCTTTGCAAAGGAGACACAAAAAGTGTACAGGTTGAAAACAATATTAATGGTGAGACAATAGATCGATAGAAATGGATATCGGATCATTTCCTTGGCACGAAAAGGCAAATAAGAATAAAATTACTTGATGAAATTCTGGGCATGTAAATATTTGTTCGGGCTAGCGTAATAAGTGGTTAAACCTGCCCGAAGGGCATGTACTGAAAAAAAAGATATGGCGAAGACTGGTACATTCAATTTTATTTATTAATTTTGAAAAATTTAAAGAGCAAATAAATTCAAGCATCTCAGTATATCATAAAATAATTATGATGGTAGTCTAATGATGTAATTTTTTTAATTGAATTTATCATATCCATTCCAGGACCTGTTTTTTCTTGTTTCCTATCTTCCTTCATTTACTCCTAGAGAGTTATGAATTTTAAATATTTTTAATGAATTCATTTTCTGATACTTGGAACTAGGGAAAGACCTGTTAGTAATACTTATATTCCCCCATATGATTACTTCCCTATAAGATAACTTCCCTTTTCAAATCAAATGATATGGTCATACAAGATTTAAAAGCATACACTTAAATCATACAAACCGTCTGAGTGAACTCCAACAATCAGGTAATCCCCCATTTGTTTGGCCTACAAGTACAAAATACTACAAATCTGAACATGAATTTTACAATATGGTCATGCAATCCCAAATTTTTCCCCATTTAAAATCACATCCAACATCACATACTTACGTACCTGTCGAATAGCATTGGCATGGCCAAAATGAACCATGTCGAAACTGAAAATTAAGCAAAAATCATTTAAGTTTGATTTTGGTCAAGACAATTGGACCCATACATATATACTGAAACACAAATTATTTCTAAAATGGTTCATAAGGTTAAGATACATTTAAGTTAGTGACAAAGATTTCTTTAAAATTTAGAATACTTTTCTGTTAACAGGGTTGTCCCTAAGAATTGAAATAGAAGGTGACATTTAAAAAGTAGAACAGGATCTGGGGTTCCTCCCCTAGTGGGGAGCTTAGGAGGAATACAAAAATAGCTGGGAGATTACATCATTATAGGCAGGGAAATTCCCTGGCTCCCTGGTCTTAGGGACAACCCTGTGTTGATAATGCTTTCTTTTTTTGTGCAATTGCATGTTTCATCTAACTTGTGTCACTTATCCTTATTGAAGAAATAAGACACTTATATATACATGTACACAAAGGTATATAATATCTATATGAATTTTGAATAATACCTGGGACCTATTTGTGAGAATAATCTGTCTCTCAACTGGGGCTAAAGGACATGCACAATATAATTTTTACAATTAGATCATTCTATCTAGGGAGGCCGGCCCTACATACAATATTATATAAAAAGAATTCTTTTGATAAATTTAATTGGCCAATAGGTGATACAATGTATATTCTAACATTGATTTGGAAGCGCTGTGCAGATTGTCAAAGCTTTTCTCAGCTGACTCCGAGTACTTTGAAAACATAAAGGAAAATATAAGACAATCACTTATAAAAATACTAACTTTAACAAAGCTAGGTATTATTTCTTGTATTATATGCATTCCCTCTTCAAAGCATGGTATCCATTCATTAACCATATATTTTACTCATAATCTTGTTACTTTTTTTAGGCCATCATTAAAAATATCTTTGTTTCCCCTAACCCGACCCAAAAATCTTAAGTTGGGTCGGTAGGTAGGTAAATTATTTTTTTTCTGACAGCAGGTTTGGGAATACATTCTGAAAAATTGAATAATATCTTTATAAATAAGAAAGAACAAAAAAAAAAACAATTTTAAACCTAATATCATACAAATGAAGCAACATGTATGGTAAATTAATTCACAAATATTATTCATTTGAACTTGTAAAATATCTCAGGCCAGCGTAAATTTATTGAAATCGAATATTTACAAAAAACACAAGATTCGCAAATACTGAACCATCGGACATTCAAGTACATTTTTCAAACCTACTATCATCTTCGAGTACTTACACAGACAAAATGTCAAGGGCCTCACGTGGCACAGTAATTCTAGTGTTTCGTTTTTGGAGTCACGACGTAATTTGGGAGTTAATTCTAAGTCACAGGTCCCAAGGTGAGACTTGCAGACCGGTCAGTGGAATAAGACCATAAAACACGTAGGTCCAGTGTCGGAGTATACATGTAGATGGCACGTAAAAGATCCCTTACTGATGCTTAATGATCAAAGGCCATAAGTGCCGAGTAAAAGTCAAAATTAGGAGCCTTCCACCGGCCCAACAAATTTTAAAGGTATTTTAAAGCAAAGAAACAACCTGTTTTCAAGGGCCTAACTAACGTAAAATAAACTAGCCGTCTCAGGAAGCCGTACCATAAGCAAATTTTAAAGATTTCAACACTGTTTGGAAATGTGTACATGTACATGTATAAACAATATATAATTCAACCAAACCATATCTAAAATGATTAAAGTTTCATATATCTAATTTTATAGTCACGGAATCAATACCAGGGCTCGACATTAACTTTTTTTCCTACTTGTCCATTCGGACAAGTGACCAAGACATTTACTTATCCGAACTTCAACTTCACTTGTCCGAAAAATTTTCAATAAAGATCTAATACTGTGAACTGAAAAACTAAAAATAAAGTCCATTACATATGCATGATGTTATTTATAAATACAACAAACACATAAAATAAAATTTTATCTAGACTTTCTGTCCTGACAACATATATGCTGTCAACATAAAACAGAATACAAACTTCGTCAGTTCCATGCCTTTCCAGTAGTATGCAATTAGTGAACTTCGATCCCGATCGAGTGTACTCAATTACATAGCAATCTATATCGGGATCGAAGTTCGGTTTTTATGTACTGTTTCCGTCTTAAAGTACCTGTAAACTTTCAACAGTCGTTCTTTTAAATATTTAGAGACTTATTTACATAAAAATGCACTTGTCCAATCGGACAAGTGCCCAGCAATATTCACTTGTCCGTATTTTTTTTCACTGGTACCGGACAAGCGTTAATGTCGAGCCCTGAATACCCCATAAATAAAAGGAATTAAAAAAAAACGACATCCGAATTATATTTATCAAATGAAATAATCATACAAAGACATATTTACAACTCCTATGGTCCTATGTAGTAAATATAGGATCTTACATGAACTGTTTATTAGATCGAAACGAATCAAATGAAGTGAAATTTATTGATATGTATTCACAAGGAGCGCCCCTCATCTACTCATGAGCCAGGCTTTGCTATGCTTACTACGTATGTTAATTTTTTAAATACCATCTTAACACTCCTTAGTCATGGTACATTAATTCACGAGAAGTCTCAAGAGTGTAGGATTCTAAAAAGTAAAAGATATAATAAGATTGATACATCACCATTGTTTTATAACACGAACTAACCCTCTGTGGCCACATGTTGTCAGCACCAAATGAGAGTAAAACAAAAGCCGCCGTTCTGATAAAAAACGGATTTTGATGAAATTGTATCTTATAAATTTGATAAACAATAAAAAAAAATATTTAAATAATCTTATTTTAAAAACTTTTCAGTCGGCACGATTTAAGTGGGTCGGTAGCGTTAGGGGAAACAAAGGTATTTTTTATTTTGGCCTTACCTTTTAAAGGTCCAAAACAGCCCTATATGAAATAGGGATATCAGTTTTAAAAATTTGCATTCCGACATACATGATGTGGGGTCGTGGTAGATATGCCCATTAAAGAATATACATGTGTTGAGAAAATCTACATAAAAATTCATCTATATCGTCAACTGTATAAAAGAATGCAAGAAATAATGGGTCAACTCCAATATAAGGGTATGTAGTTCCTATGCGGAAGCTTGTAAATAAAGATTAGTAGTGATTTGGTTTCCACTTGTCCTCCAATGTTGACCATATTACTGTCAACCATATTAAAGGTCGACAGTTGACAGTTTCTTTTCCATCCTACTGTCAACCTCGCATAATACCCAAAGTGAGCAAAAAAGCATAAATTGAAGGTTTTAACAATGCTTTGATCTGTAGCTCTCGTTTGCCTGTCCCAATTTTCACAACCAGAGAGCTACAGTTCTGCAACTAAGTTAAAAGTAATTAAGGAGACTATCAACTGTGTTTGCCTGAACAGTTGCACCATTAACATATTATAAGTATCAATCCTATTCTCTTTAGAGAAGTGGACAGGCTTTGGCCTAGAGGCTAAAGCCTGTGTACTTCTCTAAAGAGAATAGTATAGATCCCTGATAAATTTATGTCCCTTGCAAAGTTCGGTCTAAATAATGCTTTAATCGTACAATTCATAAACTGATAAACTGTTTTTTACAAAAGCGAATTAGGGCCGCAGCAGTATTTTTTATTAATTTGTTATAACAAATTAGTAATTTCTTATAACAAATTATCAATTTGTTATATATAACAAATTTAAAATAATTTGTTATAACAAATTAATAAAAAAAAAATACTGCTGCGGCCCGAATACGCTTCCGTAGTTTTTCCTTTTTTTGACTCTACTAAAAATCGCTTTTTTAGTGTCACATCCCCGTGACTGTATTTTTCATTTTTTGGGTCGATCTGTCAAAATGCCTTTATAGTAGTTCTATTTCTTTACTTTGAAATGACCCCTAAGGTGAGATATCGAAAATTCAGAGAAAAAGTCAATAAATGATCGAAAATTGCTGCATATCCATTTCGCATCAATTTTACATGAAGTATGCAACGTATCTTTTGACTTCTGTCTTTGGTGTAGGGTATTTTTCCAGAAAATCGAAGCCGGCGTCCCCTCCCTTTCATTGCAAACCAATTACTATGATCGGTAATGCATAGAAATAATTTTTAAAAAAATGAAACATGCATCCATGACACTCACCAGCCATCAACCCACACTCGAACTTGCTTCTGCTTCTTTTCACTAGCCATGTCGGATGAACTTTGATCATCCGATGTACGCTTCGTAGCCATGCTGATTGGTTCTCTTTATCGGGTGATCAAGTTAAGAACCAGTTTACAGTCACCCAACGTAAAACCAAACCAAACGGGATACTGCAGTTCCGAATTAATGATAATGTGCGAATAAGGATGTGCCTACATGTTTTTATGGAATAAAAGAAAAAAGTGTTTTAATGAAATGTCCATCTATTATAAAAATAAAATACTTGAAAAAAAATAAGTGGCTCCACTATCCACATCTAACGGCGTTACAAGCCTCGTTCTTCTCATCTGCTTTAATAGAGCCCATAAAATTGTCAGTGCTAACTACACTCTCACTGGTCACCAATCTAACGTTTACAATTCATCATAATACTGTGTTCAAACTCTGTTTTAAACCCAATTTTAAAAATATTTTTGAAATGTTTTAAAAAAGTCTTTCCAGAATATAAGTTTAGTAAAAGATGCTAAACCTACGTGCACTCTCTCCAGCAATCAATTGTATAAACACTTTGAAGAAATGCGCCATTTTCTCTCTAAAGAATTGGTTCCAAATGAATTTCATTCCAGCAATCAAATTCATATATGACCATAAAAAATTATCTTGAGGATTAATTATTGAATAATTACAACTTTTATTAGATTCTTACTATTGCCTTAGCAAATTTAATTTATTTAAATAGATTCAGAACCAGTTCCATGCATTCACAATTTAAGTATCCTTTATATATTCTGAATTGAATTATTGCATTTATATGTACCTTTTATCTTTCATGGCATTACTTTATAGAAAAGAAAAAAAGACAATGATTGAAATACCTTACAGTACTTTGAAAAAAAAAAAAAAAAAACTTCATAAGAGTAAATCAAATAAGTATTATATTTTGAATAATTGTTCTTAAAAACAGATTTATTAATGTACAATGTAAGACTACGAAAAAAAGCAGATCTTATTTTGGAGAATATTATGTCATATTCTGTCGTTAGCACGACTTACATGAATATTATACCTCGTCCAGATATTTATGTGGCGACCGCCACAAGATATATTAATTTGGCGGTAGCCAGATATTTATGATAAAATACTTTTCTCACCTGGTACCTTCTGACTTCAATAATAACCAGCTGCAGCTTTATATCATCTGTTTTTTATATATAGTTTTTGAATCAGTCTACTTCAGTTAACTTGTACACTTCTTTAATTCATTAATATTATGATGATGAACACCAGATCTGATAGGCCATTTCCCACAAATTATTAACTGTTAAGAAGATGACGAACATTAATCAAGCTCAAAAGTCCATTGAAACAATACAAACTGGGAGCAGAGCAAACACGTCCGAACCTCTAAAAACATCAGAGGTGGGATCACGTGCCATATGGGGGAATCCCCTGTCGACTGGATACACCTACCGTGTGCTCCTTGTCATGATCGGACAAAGCGAAATGTTGACTTTAAATGAGACTGTTATTTTTGTATCATCAACTTATTTGTCAAAAGCTTGCCCCATCTTAGAAATTGCTCGTCAGTAGAACATGCACTTGCGTATCGAATCAACTGGGAGACATAAACCCCGTATACAGGTGATAAGGGTATATTGCTACATAAATAAGGGAAGTTGACGATTGAAAAGTTGGTGGTCATCACCTTTATCATAAAGTTTAGTTGTTAAGTTGCCATTAACGTCTTTTTCTAGTAAAATATCCAAATATAAACAGATTTGACAGACTCTGTGGTATCATTTTTAGTGTTCACAGGGGTATATCGAATCAACGTAGGAATGAAAATGAATAGTGTTATTTGATAAAATGTCGTCGATATATTTAAATCTAAATAAAAGTCTGAAGGCCACAACAAGAGACCTCTTCATTTCATTTAGAATAAATTCTACTTTATATGAACACAAAAGCAAATCTACTAATAACGAGGCGCAATTAGTACCCATGGAAATTCAAACAGATTGTTGGAAGACCTAATCTCCAAAAACTACAGATCAGAAACTCAAGCATCTTTTTTTAATATCAACTTTGGAGTACTTGTGTGTAAATCAGAATGTTTTTTAACAAAATAATTTAGCAGATGATCAATGGCAAAGTATGTTAATTAGCGAGTTCCTTTTTTATTGAAAAAGCAGTCATTCATGATTTCAAAAGCCTTGTTTTTGAATTATTGTTGGGAATGGTTGTAGATTGTCGAAACGTCGTATGCTTTGAATCTACTTATCTTAGTAAAATTTTGCGATTTAAAACCTTTAGTTAAAGTTCCTTGGAATTTACAAGTAATACTATCCACATCTGAATAATACCTTCTCACGAAAATGTTGTACTGTACTCATGAAGTTTCTCCTTCACTGCTGCTAATATTTTGGTGAGGAATGTAAAGAAAGAGGCTTGAATGAACATTTACTAGAACCCGTTATGTATCTTTGTTTGTAGGGATATTTATGTAGTTTAGAAATCCAGTATAGTTATGGTGATTCAAATTTAATTTGATATTGGGAATATTAAAATATGATTTTGAAGAATTTCCTCCTTAGAGAGTGAGTTAGAAGTTGGATTACCACTTGCAGAATTAAATCCAAGTTACTCTAAAATACAATTATAATAATGAGCCTTACAAAGACAATGTTGTTACCTGGTTTTTCAGCTGGGACCAGTACATATTGATCGTGTAATCTATCTTATTCTTTTTTTCACTTTTGAATTATTAAAGAAGGAGAGATGGTTTTCATATTGCCCCTCGACCGTTTAATGCGAGGTTTCAACACCCATCAGATACTTTCAATCCATTCTGACGAAGTACACCCTTCAAGGTCTTCTTTTTCATGTTTGGCCCTTTGCCTGGCGTGATCTTCAACAGAATTCAAAATATTTAGGAAATTTTGACGCCACTTGAAAGATCGGGTTCCAGCAGGACAACTGTAATAGTTGTAGGGAGAAGAACATGAACGCATAGGAGGATTATGTTTCAGACATTCGATATCTAGGCATTGTAGAAATTGATTGAAAGGGGCTAGGTAACACTGTTTGGAGATAACATCGGCGTATTAATAATTACTGGACAATTGAAGAAACAATGCAATATATTTTTATTAAATGGATAACAGTCACAAAAATTCAACAATGGCAACTCTTTTGTTTGACAGGATAAACTGCTAGACCATTTCTATGCATTATTATCCTTTCAAATACTTCAAAAAAAAAAAAAAGTGAAAATAAGAGTGCATAATAAACATTTATCCATTTTTGTTGAGTGTCATCTACTTACATTGTAGCTATGGTACATGTTTTGTCAGTGAAGAAAACTAGTTTCACCGTTGTCGATTGTTCAAGAAAATTACGTGCGCGACACAGACCCTCAAATTTCATTTATAATTTGCATAGAAACAAATGATACACGTGTACAAAGTACGACAACATTAGTAATGTGGGCATAGTCTTATATAAACTGAAATCGCACTCTCCTTTCTTCTTCATCAACATCGTCTTTCCAAATGTCTCGTTTTGGGCTAGCGGAACCTCGTTCTGAATTTTCTTTGTCGACGTTGAGGAGGAGGAACTCCTGGATTCCCGTCATTGGCTTTACCTCCTCCACTGGCTTAAAAAGAAAACACGTAATGAAATAAGTATAAAAACCAATTAGTGAAATCGTAAAATTACAGAAGCTGCGAAGTAATAGTACATTTATATCAAGAATGTATTTATGTCAAGGCTGCCTATATATATTATAAAAAAAAATGCATGTAAATGTGTGCTAAATGTACAATTAGTAGGTGCACGTTAACACAATAGAAAAGTTAAATGATTTACGTGTATCAGCGAAGTGTTGAATTAAAAAACTCATTTTTACATCACATACCTTTATTGAAAAATAACATTTCAGATAAATTATTCATATGCTATATGAAATTTAAAATTTGCTATGGAGTTAATTGCACTGGTTACAAACATAAAAGATCACTGAAATAAAGGACTGTTGTTACTGTTAGAAATAAACAAAAAAATTAGTACATTTACATTTTACTATACATGTAGATACAGTTTGATGTCAAATTGCATATTTACATTTCCAGTCCCACTCAAGGAATTCAAAATTTACAATATGACATTGCACAACCCGATATAAATATTGCATGCATATAATAAAAATATTGCGTATGTAGTATACATGTGTTAGTAAAGCCCAGACGATATATCATTTCGCCATAAACTCCGACGGCCTGAAATTCTTTTGAGCTTAAAACATTTTCTTTGACCAATTAACACCATTCATTTAATATTTCATTTACTCTTCTAAATTTTGAAAATGTATTTATGTATATATTATATTTCAAATGTAAAGTTGGATGTGCCATGCTGTTGACGAAATGATGTTTCATATACCTTCGTCTGTACGCCTTCAACATCGTTAAAGGTTTCTCTAACTAGTCTCATTACATTTAAAGCGCTTACATTCCCTTTACGTAACTCGTCCTGTAGATCACCTGTAGTGCAAACATTGAAAAAGTAAGCAACATATATAAATTTTATTTCTACTGAGAATAAAATAAGCACATAGAGAAAACATTAATGCAATAAAACTTCTTTTTTCAAGAAGATATTTTCTTCTTAAGGTAATAATACGGTTTCTTTTTCTAAAACGCGATTTTATGTAAGCGTGACTTCTGTTTTGCTTTCCAATATTTGTGTTTTGTTCCCCAAGGTTGTAAAAGCAAACATGAATAAACACTGTGTATTAAAATTTTAATGCTCTTTCAGATGGTATTGAAAGTTCTAGCTGAAACTTTAAAAATAAACATATGGAGAATTTTTTTTTTTAAATTGTAATTGAAAAAATTTATTTTTATTCAATATTTTACAATCAAAGTCTAGAAATATTTCTAGAGTCCATAAAAATTCCAACGATTAAAGATTTAGAAAAGCATAGGTCAGTATTTCCAACAGAAAGTCTTGAACCACCGTTTCTAGAATGTTCAGGTAAATAGTTGACTATGAGGAGAGTTTTACTTTTAAAGAGGTGATGTTACACAGATAACCTATTAAATCTCATTTTATTTTCTGACATACCGAGTATTTCCTTTAACTTAATGGAAGAAAAGGTTAAGGATAATATTTCTAACGAAACAATGGGACAAAACTCCATTCAAAAAGCAAAATAGCTTAAAGGTTTTGGTGGTAATAATAGAACAACACTTTATAATTCTGTTTGTACTCTTTAAATTAATACCAAAAATTAAGAGAAATTTTTTAATACGGTTTAAATGGTAGGAAGATAGAGAATGAAAAAACGTAAGTAATGTGTCGAGAATGATCCACGACTAGTACTTAATTATGTTGTGAGCAAAGTAGATATATAAACACATGTACTTTAATTTAATGTAAAGCATTTTCTGGAATACAAATATTGATTAAAGTTTTAAGATGAAAAAAATTATTAAAATGGCAAAATTATCTAACTAGATACATTGAAATGATTCTGGAAATCCATACAAATAAAAAAAAATGTGAAAAAAGTTTCATGAATACTCACTCCAACTTTCCGTATGATCATCTTCAGAGTTGTTTTTGCCAACCGATGGCACAAATGATAATGCTGATTTGGCGGATTTCAGTACGATATCCATAACCCCAACCACTTCTGGGGAACTCTCACTATCGTCTTTGACTTCAGAAATGCTTTTGTTGAGAATTGCAGCAAATATTGTAAACAACGTCATAATAACTAACAAAATATACATGAAGTAGAACGTTCTGGCCAATGCAGGGTTTGACTCTATCAGTGCATCGAGACTGTTGACACCAATGAACGTGTTTGTCAGGCTTCCAATAACGCTGAAGAAGCTCTTGTATTCTTTGACAGTTGACCCAAATAACAGATATCCTGTTCCAACAAAAGTAAAGAACATGATTGAAAACATGATCAAGAATCCGTAAAGGTCTTTACCTACGTTGGTTATAACTGAAATGATTTCTGTTACTTTCTTGCTGTATCCCAAGATCCGCAGAAACTGAATAATGGACACAAATACCAGAATGGCAAAGATGATGGAGAAGGTATTGTCCCACAATACAATGTTTGCAAAATTTATGAACTTTGATCCTGTAACTAGCTGATCGTAATAAAGGTTCATAGCTTTTGTTGCAGCTTGGATTCGCACTATGTAAACACCAATGGCAGCAAATCCAAGAAAAGCCATGATCATATCAACGTAATGCCAAGGATGCTTCAGGTAGCCCGGACAACCTAATTGTCGAATTCCTCTTATAAATTTTACGAAAGAGTAGATGACATAAGCTATGAATATGGAATAACAAGCTATGACGTAAGAACCAACAGCTGAAGCTGATGCCACGGGTCGGAATGCCTCTGATTCATACCATACAAAAGATCGTCCAAGTTCGGTGAACTCCGTAAGAAACATGACGTAGGCAAACAGATTCACATTCGGATTGTACAGAACGAACTCAAGAAATACAGCCCTTGTACGTCTGTCTATCCACGTTTTGTTGAGTAGATCGTTAACAATATTGGTTGCCTCAGTTATTGTCTCTTTTAAACTTATGACATAACCGCCTCCACTATATGTATTATATTCACCAGCTTTTGGAATTCCCCAAATATCAAACGCACTGGTGAATTTCCAAGCTTCCATTGTTTTATCATTGGGATCAAGGCAGCTTTGTCCATAAGGCTGCCATCCTACACAGTATGAGTGATCGTCTTCGTCAGTCATCGAATACCGACTATAACAAGGGTAAGGCCAAGTCAGTCGTGAATATTCACATTCATCTATAGAGGGAATAAAACCAAAGTAATAATAATTAAGCATTGACAACCAGCTTAAGCATGTATTGAAAAAGACTGGTTGTATAAGTACAACCTGATATTTTTGGTCAGAAAATATTCCTCTAGGAAGACATTAATAGTATAAAACAAATGGAATTTTTACCTTTTCCCATTCGGACTTGTCTCAGCCTTGGAGGACCTATACGTATGCTTACATTGTCACCAAAGTACTGTAAATCTCTTGCAAAAAATATTGTTTGATTGGCGTAATTTTTCTGAGGAAAATATGTTGGAAGAAGCGATGTTTTTAACCAAGTGAAAAAGGAATCTGTCTCCGTAACCTGAAAAACAAAGAATTTGTTTCTCAGTGCTATTTCCTAAACATTGTTTACGGAAAAAGTTTTCGTCACAGTTTCTTTGTGAACATGTATTGCTATATTCCTGTTTATGCATAGCAAAGACAATGTGATTAATTTTTTTTCTTCTATGGTCGTTTTGCATTTAAGAAGGTTGAAAAAATATTATTAGCCATTAAGCTACTACAATGTATATACATGTAGTAAGTTTTTCCAAATGAAAACAACCATTTTATGATTTCATATTACCTTAGAGAATGAAGTATACATAAAATTATCCAAGCTCTGTTTGAAACTGTAAGCTCTCTGATCTCGTTCCATATAACTGATGCTGTAAATAGCAGACACATACACGGCATACACCAGTAAAGTTATCATAGCGTTCCGCGCTGTACGTTCCTCTTGTCGTTTCTTTCTCATAGTTGCGACTTGCTCTTCAGACAAAGGTTTCTGGCTCGTTACTATATTGTTGACTAATGCTGTTTAAATGAAAAAAATATATACATACCATCAAATAATGTAAGGGAACATTGAACATTAAAAAAGATTTGTAACAAATCCAGAAATTACATTACAGTTTTTTTGTCATGTTTTTTGTCATTTATACCATTAAAACCTTCCCGACTCTTTGTCTTAAACTGTGACTTGGACACTGATTGAAGCTTTTCAAATTCAACCTTAGGTGGAACGGACTCATCCGCCATTTTCCTGAATATCAAAGCGAAGACAGCAGAAATCAAGAGAACCTACAATGGAAAAAAGACGGGTCAAGGTCCGAAAAACCGAAAGAAACAAAGAAAGACTATAAGAAAGATACTCAGAATATGATGTTCTAATTACTTTTAAAGGGTCGACGCATAGAAGAGATTCCAAGAAAGACAATAAAAAAGAGGATAACCACTCTTCTGATTTGGCTATTCCCCATTCCATGCTGTATAGCAGAAGAAAGAAAGCTGATGTCAAAACCGAGAGGAAAACGATAAACCAGGCGATTCTTCGAACCCAGTGCGGCAAGGGAAGAGAATTATTCTCGAGTAAATCTTCCAGGTCTACATTTTCACTATTGTTACTTAATTTTTTCTCTTTATTTACAGTGTCCTCCTGTATTTCTTCTTCCTTATCTTTAACAGTTTCCTCCTCAATCACTGTATTGTTTTCAGTATTTTCCTTGTACGATATTGTAGAGATGGGTTGACTTTTCTTTACCTTTTTAGGCTTACGTGGAGCTGGACGACTTTTTCGAAATGCAAATGTAATGAACATAATTGGTGGTGTTGTAATAGAAATTCCTATTACGGATACAATAATGGTTGTTACTGATATACGAATTACTCCAACTTCCAAAACTCCTTCTACTTTGTCTTCATCAGAAGATCTAAAGAACATGGCGTTGGTGATCATCGTTAGGAAAAGTAAAGAGAGCAAGCATGACAAACGTTGAACTCGGGTAAAAATGCTTCTCTTTGGCCTTATAAACATGGATAACCACAAGTGTTGCTCCGTTATGTTCGACTGTGTATGTTCAGAAAAGAGGGTATTAAACGAAGTGATATCGTCCTTGCTTGACACGGGAAGTATTCTATCAATCATTCCATCCTCTTCATCCACAGCCAACCATTTGTCACACAAGAAAATATATCTGTACATACCAATAAAATAATAAGTCGAAACAACAGTACATTTAGGTCAACTTAACAATTTAATCTATTTTAAAATATCTAAAAACATAGAAAATATGTAGATTTCCTACCGTTCCTGTGTACGTAAATCATCAACAACTATCCTATTTAGATACCAGCTCCGACGCCCCTTAGGTCCGGAGTTATCATGCCAGATTCGAATATGTGTCAAATTGCCCAATGACACGGAGTGTCCCATTATGTATTTATTGACACTTGCGGTCGCAAAACCCTAAAATGAAATGTTTATAAAAGATTATCTGAAAGAACTATGAGGGAAGTAAAGTGATTACAAAAAATGATAGACTGCCATATACCTTTCGAACACCATCACTAAGTGATCTTATTCCGGTATCAGCTTCGTCACCAGATACTACAAAATTAACGTTAGACAGAGTCCCAGCTCCCTTTCGCATCCCTGTGTAAACAGTTAGTAAGTAGAAGTTTGTATCCGCACCGTCCGTATCTTTTAGGAAATGAGTAGCCCACTAAAATTAATATGTAACAAACATTTAAAACTATGTTACTTTAAAAAATATATATATACTTCAAGTTGTTGAAAAAAAAACGACAAAAATAACATCAATATATGTAACTGGAGTTTTCTTATCGCCTGCAGGCATTGTGTGGTATCCAGAAAAGTGACCCCTTTGAAAAGCCTCAAAGAGATGAAATGATTTGAAAACTGGGCTCTTGGAATAAAAATAAAATCAATCTCTTTTCTGGAATTTATGATTTTTATTTCTACATGCAACTAAATTTTTGCAGTTACCTTTTCTTCATCTTTCTTGTCTTGTCGTCTGAGATAGATGGCAGCTAGGGTGTAGACAACGAGAAAGGCTATAAGTGTACCATACACAGCGGCGTTGGAAGGATCGAACTTTCCCCACACATTGGTGAAATCTATAGTGCTCAGAGGTACTACAAATGTAGACGAAAATGTCGTCCCTGTGCAACGACATACTGTGTTTTCTTTTGTGCTAATTCTCAAAACCTAGCAATAAAATAAACGAAAATAACGCGTTAACGTTGTTTTTTTTGGGGGGGTGGGGGGGGGGGGTAAACACCGTTATTAGAACCCATATTTATGGTTTTAACACAAACAACCAGTTTGAGTTTGAGAATTCTAATTTGTCTAAACCAAAAGTTGTAAAAGAAATATTATAATCACGTGATATAAAAACAGGAGAACAAGAGCCAAGGATATACCTGACAGTTGTTAGACGTCCACGAGTCCGTAGCCTTGTCATAAGATCGACAGCCTGTAGTTGTTATTGCCATGCTGAAGTTGGAACTAGTGGGTGTAAAAGGTGCCGACTCATTGTATCCAGGAGTAGTTAAAGCTTGGCTAGTGTCTCGACGTCTTCTTCTTGAGGTCGAAGAATCCGATGTAGTATCGGTTATGTCAACTAAAAATTGTTAAAAATGTATATTGGGTATATACTTTAACTATCCACATGGTGCAGCTTTCAAATGTCTTTTTATGACAAGCGAGACTTGTGAAAGAATAACGGGATAGGTTAAGTAAAAAAACCGAAAACATTATTGTAATTAGAAAATTTAACAAAGAATCTGAGTGGGACTTCCAATTAAAAATTAAATGTTTTCGTAGTAGCCATCTCACCTTCTCCAAGTTTAATACCCATATAACAAATCCCTTTGTTGCAGACACCGCCATCCAAAAATATCTTGAAACCGTCATCTTCAACAGACCAGTTGGCAGCCGACACCACGATTTCTAAATCTTTAGATGTTGGAAAGTAAACGCTGCTAAAATAGAAGCTGTACAGGGTATCATTAGGATTGCTTGTGATATCGAAATTATCAGGTTTGAAGAAGACCACACCAGCATCACCATCATTCTCCACTTCAAACTTGTAGTAAATCATTGGCTCGGGGAAAGTTGTCTGGATTTTTGGTTCATATACAACAGGTGCTAGAACGGGTGGATTCTTTATGACCGAGTCCACAGTTGATCCTGGGCCAAGGTCAATAGAGGAAACGCCAGTAGTCAAGGATGAGGCGTTCTCCACATAATTATAGGGATTTCGCTTATAAACAATAACCTATAAACAAATGAAAAAAAAAATAGTGAAAGTTTTTATAAATCAACTATATATTTTTGGAGGGGTTATTTTATCCATTTTTACACAAAATATAATATTTTACCTTTATTGTTAGTTCTGTTCTGTTGGTTTCGAACTTTTTCATATACGTTTCATCCATGTCATCAGGTGCTATTTTCTGTGTGACTATGTCCAGCACAGATGTGGACACTAGTGATTTCTCTCCTAAAGCCAAAGTTTTCAACTTCAGCCCTTGGATTGTATCAATAACCTTTTGCTGATTAGCTAGAGCTCTGGCGGTCTGAGGAACAATAGCAAAAGTAGAAGGTACATCTTACATCCCGTGAAAAATATGTATGAAGAACATGAATTCTTTGTCGCTATCATTGCTTTGCGCTTTGTATTGATACTACTACAGTGTATAAGAATGAAAAATTGGGCTGCTATGGAATATAACATGTAGGACACACCAATAAACGCGCCTCATGAACAAGAGAATAGACAATTTTAGTGATATTTAATGTCCAAATATAAAAGTTTTAACTATTTTTCACTTTTGAAGGAGTATTTTTAAAGCCAATAACCATTCCAGTTTTTTGTCAATAAAAACTCATCTTCAGAAATATGTTTGATCAAGATGCGCTTTAGGGCAAGTCAGTTTAAGGAAAGTTTCGGTATTGGAAAGGGTTAAGAATAAGTATAACATTATCAAAGTTTGGTTATAGAGCAGCTTTGTCATGGAAGGTTAAAAATAAAATTAAATTTAAAAAAACGGCTTGAATAAACATTACTGTTACATCCTGTTAGCTGTTATAAGCAGAGGAATTCTTTTTAATGTAATAAATATCGATGCGGTCTTGATTAAACTGATTGATTGAATGTTGTTTAAAATCCCATTCGAAAATTCTTCACTCGCATAGAGAGTCACCAGCTTTAGAAATACCACACATTTTGACTTTGCAGTAATGATTCTTTGTGTCAAAGCCTATCGTGACATGGGGACCTAGAGTTCTTTAAAAACTCTAATTCGAAAGATTCGTAACTTTCACTTCTAATGTCGGGCTCTCAGCAAAGGAACAGTCACTACTTAGGTTAAACATCAGACATGTGAGGATCGAACCGGACCTTATGATAACAAAACGAGTGCCATACCACTAGGTACCTAAAACGGTCACTGAAATACTCAGCAACACTAATAAAGCAGCAATACTGTTGTTAAATGTGTTTGTTTGTCTGTTATTGTTTACACTCATTTTTTCTGAGTGAATTTTTCACTCATATGGAGACGCCACCACTTGCCGGTGGAGAGCTGCAAATTTTGACCTATACTCGGCACTCAGGGCCATTGAGCAGTGAGGGATCTTTTTCGTGCCAGCACCTACTGCGACACGGGACCTCGGTTTATACGGTCTCATCCGAAGGACCGGTCTCCACGTCCCACAATGGGATTCGAACCCGCGACGTAAGGATTAACTCCTTACTCCGCGACTCTAGAGCGAACGCTCTAACCACTGCGCCATGCGGGCGTTGTTAAATGTATAAACGGGGGATCAAATTTCGTGGTTCTGGCAAAAAAATTACAAATTCATTGATCTATGTAAATTCCTCATCCTATTCCATAACTAGTAAAAAAATTGTAGTTTGTTCCTGGTTTAGCTAACCACAAAACAATGAAAACAACAATGATGAAATCATAGTATCTGTTAGTAATTTGAAATACTAGTAATTGACGCAAGAATTTTGACAAAAATTAAAAAAACAAACAAACATACAATATTTGTTTGATTCAGTTGTATCTCCCGTTCATGTTGTCGAATAAGAAAAATCTGGTTAGTTTTCTCTTTGTAATTGGTTACGTTGGATATACCCAAGTGTGCGTTCATTTTATTCTCAAACTCGGATTTCAACTCTAGCTCTTCTTCAATGTCCTCTAAGGTAAGTTCCACATCTAAGTTCATCAATTTTGCCGGTAACATTTTATCCATTACTGTGTTCAAAACTCGTATGGCCACTGGAACATATTAAAAAAACATATAAATTACCGTTTTAATAATACAAACCCAAACAATACTTGAAACAATTATACAGGCAAATCTTGTCAACGAATCAAACAAATCAATTACATTAAAAATACTTTTATTAACATCATGGACTAATGAATAATAATCCCAGATTTCAAAGTACTGATAATAAAAAAAGGTCATATATCTTTTTGTGATTTTGTTTCGATGCAATGATATGTGCAAAGACACATTTTATCTTCCAATTTAAACAATTTGGAGAAATAATATTAGAATTATCGCATACAATCTACATCATTTTTTTTTTCTAAATCTGGATTTCATACAAAAATTGAATATGTCATAAGAAAATGTATATCACCTTCAATTGTGTCTTTGACTATGTCATAATACTCAATCGGGAGATACGTAACGCCAGCATCCAACTCGGTTGTCACATTACTGATGACACTTTCAAAACAGTACGTCATGTTGTAAATGAATCCGGTCAAATCTTCCTGTTAATAATTAAAGAGAAAGACAATTTTTTAATAAGTTAAAAGCAAATATAATATCCATCCACCTATTCGATGTTTGCATTATTAGCTATTTGTCAGACAACGAAATTTAAATTGTTTGCTGCGTTTTTGTCAACATACCAAGACATCCAAAGGTATGTACTGTTTCATTCGAGTTAGAGAGTCCAGAGTTCCAAATATATGTTGAATGTCGTTGATACTAAATCTTTTTGGGTTGTTGGAACAATCAAGACTAATTCCAGACTTTAGAATGCTGATAATTTCTCTTAATTTCTACAAAATTAGAACAAATTAGTGAAGGTTTAAAAATAGATGTATTTCTTTTTATCTGACCTTTCTCCACAAAGCCTCAACGAAAATATGGACAAGGATGTCATTACCCTGTACTTGTTGTCAAATGATCTTATTATAAAGAAAATATATGTAGGAGATGCCTTTGCGAGTTGAAAGTTTGATTTTACTTATTTGCATAATAAATTTGATATCCTTTAAAAGTTCTCTTTAGAATATAAAGATAATATTTTTATGCTAACCTGAACATAAAGTTGCTCCACAGGATCAGGAGCAGGATTTACGGTAACCTCGTTTGCTTCCCGACTGTTTGATAACACCTCTTGTTCAGTAGGAACCGTTTTTGACTATAAAAAAGTATATCTGCTCATTAAATCTAAGAAATATTGTGACCACAAAATAGTCTTTCAGGCATGTAGTACTTATATTGTTTGCACAGTCATCTTAAGGTATTGAAAACATAATCTCATTTTCAGGTCATCAGCTAATTGGCACGATCACGTAGTAGCAAAATCAATGTTTTCACTCTACATGTATATTTCGATAAAGATAATGACTTGACACCTTCAAGAAGCACCAAAGGCTTAAGTATGAATTCCACAAAACAAGGAAACATACAATGAAGCGCATTGAAGTGGTGAAATTCTCCGTTTGAATGGAACATTTTGAGCTTTCTTTAGAACGTTGATTGTCATATAATGACATGCCTATTTCTTTGGAAAGGAAAAACGACGGTCAAATGGTTCATTCGAATAACTGTAGAACAGGTATTCCATAAACATAATAGCCAGTCAAATTGACAGTCTACATGAACACCGAGTAAACACGTGTTCCACCGATACATGTGTTGTGGTAACTTAAGTTAACATGATAAATTCATAGTTATGTACATACGTAACAGAGACATTTATGTGCCTCTGCTGGGGATTGAACCCGGGGCCTCTGGCTTGCCAGTCCAGTGCTCTACCAATTGAGCTAAAGGGTTAACCCACTAGCCCAAGCTAGTAGGAAGCCGTGTATCTGACACTACCACACATATTCGTTGAAATACATGTTTACAAAAGCGGGGTCTCTAACTATCTCTTCTAACTTTTAACCATTTCAGTGTAACTCATGTTGCCAGTCGCAGAGAGTGGGGTGTTCTAAAGTATTACGACGAATATTTCTTTCTCGTTTCTAAAGAAATGGGCGTGTCATTATGTAGCAATTGAAGTTTGATAAGAAACACCCAAATTTTCAACTCAAACGAAAATTTTTACCACTTCAATGTGCTTCATTGTACAACATTGTCTGATAAACAGAAACAGGATATTTTATAGGACAATGAAGAATTACATTGGTGACGTTGTCAAAGAGTGAGGCAGCAGCTCCTAGAACCCCTACTGCAGACATATCGTTACCTCCAGCTTTAGCTTGGGCAAATGACGTCAACACACCCTCAAAGAAAACTTCTGTAGAATCTGGTTTTGCAGGTGGAATTATCTAACAATATCAGAAATATGTGGGTTATTTGAATACAAATTAGAAATACATGATTTTTTTAAAATACAAATTTTCTGAAGGTAAGTAACCAAAATCGTATCATAAGGTTAAAATACCTACAGGTATAATTGTTTCAAAAATGGAAAAATCTCCAAACTCATCTATAATTTTGACACGGATCGTTACATTGTAGTCAGTAAAGTTATCTCCGGCTTGGACAGGTACGTTTGTTATCGTGCTTTCACCTATTTAATCAAAATTTTAAACCTTATGAAATAAATCTGCGGATTTTTTATACACAACCTTACATCTGTATTTCATATAAATGCTTTTTAATTTTCAATTTCAAAATTAAACAAAAGAAAGTAATAAATAACAAAAGAAAGCAATCTTGGAGTGATAATTAACAAAATGTTCACTAAAGAAACGATTTACTAAAGAAAATCACGAAAATTATATTCGATTTATTGACTGCAACCTACCCCCTCTATACAGAATGCTTGTGATCGTTTGTATTCCAAAGGATGTGTTTTTGGTCATTTCCGTTTCGTACTGGTAAAGTAGGACAACGTTGTTGTTCTGATCTCTGGCTGGATCCTGTGTATCATGTAAACCTTCATCAAGCCAATCATTACAGTCTACACTGAGTCGGTTAATTGTATCTGAAACAAACACTAAACAGCTAATACTAAGATAAAAACCAAGATAGCAAGTAAATATAAGAAAAACTAGAAACTCATTACTAGTAATGAGACGGTCTTCCGTTATACTACTTCCTGTTTGCATCAACATGTCTTTTCCAACGTCGGTATTAGCTTAAAACTTATGTAGAAACAAAATAACTTAAACAATACTTTTTTGCTTCGTTTCCTGTCACGACTGGAAGTAATGACGACACACGATTTTTACACGAAGCAAATGAACTGATGACTGACTATAAGTCCTGAAAGTTTTAGACTTCAGTCTATTACTGTTGCCGAACAATTGTGAGAACAAATTCTAATTTTGAGGACAGGAAAACACACGACCGGAAGTGAACTGAATAAAAATCTCTGAATTTTCTCTTGACTTTTGCAGTATCTACAGCATATGTAAAAATCATTTCAAATACTGATATATAAGTAATATTTATGAGAAAGTTAAACCACGAAATAACGTCGTTTATCTCTTAAAACCGGAAGTTTAAAGTTTTTTACCCTTGGAATCTAACATATTTCAAAACAGCAAAAGGGAAGCAATAAAGTGATGAAAGTTTTAATTTTAAAAAGAAAAGTTGAAATTTTCGATTTCTTCGATCACTTCCTGTGACGACCGGAAGCGACGGCTGACGCTTTTAACCCTATGTGCTTTGCCTTCTCACCGAGTTTTATTACTCCCATAAGTTTGGTGTCTTACTTTCATGCCGTTTCCGAGATCTCGCTGAAATAGCTTTTCATTTTGAGGACAAGAAAACACGCGACCGGAAGTGAATTTTACTAAGATATTTCACGTCACTCTAGACATCTGCAGTCTCAATAACATATATCAAAAAACATTTAAAGAACTTTTTCTATAAGCGATATGTATGGGAGAATTAAAAAACCCTATTATGTAGTTTTTCTCTTATAACCGGAAGTTGTCATTTTTTGTTTCCGGTGGGACCAACACATATCGTAACTGTGAAAAAGATACAATTATATGATGCGAGTCTTACTCCAAAAGAGAAAAGTTGAAATTTTTGATTTCTTTGATCACTTCCTGTGACGAACGGAAGTGACGACTGACGCTCTTTACCCAATTGGTTTTGTCTACTCCTCAAGGTCTAATACTCCTATAAGTTTGGTGTCTAAATCTCATACAGTTTCTGAGATCTCACTCGGACAAATTCTCATTTTGCGGACACTTAAACGCGCGACCGGAAGTGAATTTTACAAAGATATTTGACGTTACTCTAGACATTTGCAATCTTGATAACATATTCAAAAATCAGTTCAAATACTTTATCTTTAAAAAATATTTATTGGAAAGTAAAATACTCAAATTATGCAGTTTTTCGCTTATAGCCGGAAGTTGTCGTTTTTGTTTCCGGTGGGACCAACATATTTCGAATCTGCAAATTAGATGCAACAATGTGATGAAAGAAAAAAATCAAAAAAGAAAAGTTGAAAATTTCGATTTCTTTGATCACTTCCTGTGACGACCGGAAGTGACGGCTGACGCTCTTAACCAAATGGTTTTGCCTACTCCTCAAGATCTATTACTCATATAAGTTTGGTGTCTTAATCTCTTACCGTTTCTGAGATATGACTGGGACAAAATATTTTTGAAAAAAACGGAAATCGGACATATCTGACGACCGGAAGAGAATTTTGAAAAAATGAAAAAAACGCCTGGAGGTATTTTCGTTTTCTATCATCCCTGAAAATTTCAAGAAAATCCGTCCAGCCATCTCTGAGAAATCGCCCCGAAAAGAAAAGGGGAAAAAAAAAATAATAATAAAGAAGAAACAGTAGAATCACTATAAGGTCTTCCGTCTAAAACGGAAGACCTTAAAAATATGTTCTTCGATAAATGATTAACAGATCATTCAAACACTGGTAAAATATTCAAATACAACCTAATCAGTAAACAATGTAATATACCCGTAGTCGTATTGACTTGGCAGTCACCATTGTATGGAGGGTAGTTAGTTCGAAACGTTTTGTACACATAATTTGATCCAGTGTCATTAAAAAAGCCCCTCATGGCTATGAGATACTTCTTGCCCTTTTCCAGTTGATGAGCTGCAATGATTATTCCTTCACGGGTAGTTCCTTATAAAGATTAAAAAAAAACATAATATTAAAATGCGTCTACAAATGTTACTGATCATCAATAAAATTGCAAAACGATAAGCCATTGTTTGTATCAAACAAGATTTTAAACATATTTTGCAAAATTATAAATCGAGTGAGTATGAAGCTACTCGCATTTATTTTAATACTGCTGAATAATTTCTAAAACTCTAGAGCAACAGTCCAATCACGAATTTATGTTTGCACGATTTGACATCTTCGAGTCATTACCTGACATCAAGTACTCGCGTAAAAAAAGGAATTGCATCATGCACAGTAGTATGTCTCTTGGAAGACATTTACTTGTCACAAGCAAATTTAAATCAATACCAGTACATATGTAAGTATGATATGTCTGGAAATTCAATCTTAATAGTTCCCCTTAATAATCTCACAATATATATAACCTGTTGTTTCAGTCATGTCCGTGAAGTTAGCAACTTCAGTATATTTATTTCCATTCTCGGACCACAACTTCCATTTTGAATGCAGTTTTTTTGATCCCGAACCTTCACAGTTTGAACACTGGCCTCTTAAAGCGTAGGAGGCGGCAACACCAACTTTTGAAAGACAATTTCTTGAGCAACTGTCAACAGTAAAAGCAAACACTCTACAGTACTATAAATAGACAAGGACAAAATGCAGCTATATATGAACATAAATGTTTATATGTAAAGTGCAGTAGAGAGATAACATGTATTTACAATATTAAAGAAAGACCTTTAAAACATATTTTTAAAATATTTACTATTTGCTTTAAATGTTATTCTTTTTAACGCAAGTGGTATTGTTTTGTACAAGTATGTTTGTTTTGTTTTAAAAAGATCTTGCGAAACATTTTCATTCTTACACATGTAGCTATATGTATTCAGTTATGCGTTTCATCTCGATGTTCAATAGTGAATGCATACGTGTATACGTATAGCTAATCACTTGTAAATCTCAAACCTCAGTGAAAGGATTGGTAAGTCTCCGGAGTCCACCACTAAAACTTGTGTATAACTGTCTATAGACCCTGGACTGTCAGTGATGCTAACGGTGACCGTGGCTTCATATCTATTTCCAGTTGTTAAACCACTAATCCCATACTTGTCATTTTTATCTTGAGAATTTGGACAGTTATTGGCACCTTGACCCTGACCAGAATTCAAATTAACATCTTCATCATCAAAAGGGAAAGACTGTGTTAACCTAAAAATAAAAACAGATCAATAGTACCGATATATTTTCGACATTTTTATAAAGAAAAAAATAATAGCATAATTCAACTAGTGATTATTATTACCTACTGATGACACAGTAATGGTATCAATTTTTATTACCGGAATTGAAGTAGTTATTTGCAGCTTATTCTTGTTATTTTATATCATGTTTTATTTATTCCTTATATCGTTTTCATAATTTTAATAATAAAACTGACGATAATTCGACACAATGTTTTTCTTCCGATTTTAGAAAAAAAATGACTAAGTGATTGATTGAATGATAACTATTTAACGCCAAGCCAGCAGTAGTTTAAGGAAGTTCTAAACATTATCAAAAGGTGCTTTTTGGACTTGGAGAAAAATATGTCATATACAGGTATGCATATTGAGACTATTTAGTTCATTTTCAACATTAGGTTCCTGCCTTATTTCGGCAGGAAAAATGTTCAAAGACAAGGACCATTCATAAACAGAAATCACTGTCGTTTACTTACACTGAGGAAATTAATGGAAATAATGAATTTAATTACTTATTCTTGGACTAATATAATGTTAAGAACATTTTAATCTATTACAAGTTGTGTAATTGACTGTAAATAACATTTTTTATCTTACTTCTAAGGGCAGATCACTCTAACTAAAACTACCCTACAAGTAGAACTCTTTTGTGTGCAATGTTTAGAGCTTCCTTAACCATATTTCGGTGGAAAGAGATTGAATAAATATTCTTCTATATCGTGTGTACATGTAATATACATGTATCTGATATTACTTCATATACGGGAAAAGATTGTACTTAAAGAGTATTAACCCATATTTAAACATGTATTAATCGGAGCAAAAATATTGAGTTTAGAATTGTGATCTTATTCATCCTTCAAATATAATTATATTTATGTTATCAACTGGCAAATATTATCTCACTTTCTACAGGTCCAACTATACGCAATGTTTTCTGTCCCTCCTTTCCCGTTGTGAGATAAAGAGGCGTCAAATTCATAAGCTAAAGATGTAACTGTATTCGTATTTCCTCCAACAATGTATGCAAATGGAGGAGGATCCTTGAATGTCATATACGTGTGTTCGTGAAAGTACGTAGTAGCAAGTGTCACATTTAATTCTATCTTGTAGATCCCTGCCTCGAATGATCCCTTTGTGATCAGAAATGTCGCTGTGTCTTTGCCCAAAGGATTATCGTAAAGAACGATTTCTAAATCAGAACCAAACTCGTCTGTTTTTCGTATAGTCCAGTTATATTTTGTATTATTTTCAATGCAATGAACATCCATTCTACTATAAATATATACATCAGTCGCTGTTGAAACAGTCAGAGATTCATTTGGCATTGAATTCTTTCGGTCAAAAAGTCCCACTTTGGAATAACAGTCATTCCCAACATAAATCGGCTTAACAATCGTGACATCTGAAATATTGTTTGAACAAGTTATAGAAACTGTTAAGTTCCCAAGCGAAATATAAGTATAATTGTACTGCATAGGACTGTCTGATGTGATGTTAAATACTTGGCTGTAGATATTTTTATCTACCAAGTCCCCAGTTCGAAGACTACAATGTGTGAAGGGCCTCTTTGGAAATCCAAACGGAGGATGTTCTGATTTATTGACGATTTCGACGTAGAACCTAACTTCACCAGGTGGCACTGTTACTTTCCAGGTACTGGGGTCCAGAACAAGGTCTATTTCTCCCGAAATATTGTAGTCGGCGATAATGGGATTATCAAGATACACAATCTCCGTTATCGATCCATTATTCCCAGTAACTTTGGGCAGATAGAAGCCGTATTCGTAGAACTGAAGACTCACATTTGTTGTACTATATCCATTATCGGACTCGTATATGCTTACAATTTCCTGCAAATGGGACACATTTGGACTATTTTCCAGGATGTCCACTTGAAAAGTGTAACTTGCATTTCCTAGCATTTTCGTTGCAGTTAACGTAAAGTTCTCTTTTCTCAAATCAATACTGGGTTTGTCACAGAATAGAATCATCGTTCCAAGAGTGATGTTGAACACTCGAGTAGACTCTGTATTATAGTTATGATCGAGAATTTGGAAAGTCATTGTATAGTTTCCACGCTTCGTAAATTTGTGGATATATTCAAATTCTGTCTGGTTAATTTTCTCTTCAGTTGAGCCATCTCCGAATTTCCAAATAGTTTCTATGTTTGGAGGTAATCTTGAACATTCAAATAAAGTCAGGTTAAAAGTAACATCAACAGGATCATGCCTTGATTTAAATGGGAAATGAATTCCGTCAGAGGGATTTGTAGGTACAAGAGACATGTTCATATTGACGGGGTTCATAAATGTATAGTTGAAGTCTTGCGCTGTAAAGGAACGCACTTGAATTATAGAAAAACCTTGATAACTACTCACAGAATTATGGCAAGTAAAGGTAACATTCTTGTCTCCGTCTGTTTTAAATGTATAATTTTGCTTGATTGGGTGACTAAATCCAAATTGAGGTATTGATACATTAACTGTAGGAGGATCTTCATCGTTGTCAAATGTACATACGATGTTTGAAGGATCAGGAAGATTTTCGAACAAATTCATCGTAATGTTCTGTCGTCCGTCTGGCCTTGGAATCATCTCTGTGGAGGGAGAAATACCAATTTTGCCCTCATGCAAAGGATATTCAATTAAAACGAAGATTGAATTCACTGAAGAATGACGTGGGTTCCACGCCTTAACTGTTACGTTGTAAAATTTCTTCGGTTGTGAATAGGACTTGTTCCATGAGGTAAAATTATAATGATGATATAAATCACTTTCCTTGTTTGTAATGAACGTTCCATCATCATAAGTCACGTTGTAAAGGAAATTCGAATTAGGTGTGGAAATAAATGAAAATTCAGCATCATGGTCTACCCGAGTAGGAGGTACTGATGCCAGTTTTACATTTAGTTCGTCCCATATTTCAATGACCTTAGTTAAATTTATGCTGTTGATGTTAGAGGACAATATTGCTGTAATTGTATAATTTCCTTGGTATATATAGTGATGAGTTAGAGGTACACCGATCGCTAGCTTTGGATCATTTGCATCTAGAGAAAAATTTGTTGAGTCACCATCTCCAAAGCGAACTTCTATGTCTACAACACCTTGAGGCTGATTTGCAGAATTCTCAACTTGTATTACAATTGTTGCGTTTTCAATTGTTTGAACAGTGTCATTTGGCAACAAGAGGTAACCGTTGATAGCATAGTAGTAGAATATGATAAAACTCCTACTAATTTGTGATACAAGGTTCTTCCCTATCACAGTCACATTAATTTCTCCTGTTTCACCGAATGTGTGATTAAATACAAGCGATTGTGTATCGTTGCATGGGTGTAGGAAATGTTGTTTGTCTTTCGGGCCAAGGAACCACTCCGTATTCATGTTAGAGCCATTGATAATTGTTGCATTGATCTCTAATGGATGACCGACCTCTGTATAGAGATCATATTCAACCTTTGAAAGAAACAATCAACATTTATATTGTTGTTTTCGATGATAAAAACGTTGAATCCATGGAACTCAGAATTAAAAATTACATATCAATATATTAACATAACTTACCAAAATATCTTCTATCGCCTGCTCATAAATAAGAGTCATGTTGAGAAAATGTTCCTCTGTTTCGTTTTGTGCCAGTAGTGAGAAAATGATTTCGTATACACCGTACGTAAAATTGTCCATCAAAAAGGCCGTCATTGTAAAAACAACATTGTCGTCGACCTGATTTATGTTTGCTGCATCTGTGTCAATAGTAATGTTGTTGATGGAGGCTTTAAAGAGTAGGTCAGGTACGTAAGTATTGTTTAAAGTGGCGAAATTCAGACGGACGTCTACAGAAGACCTAGAAATCAACATTATTGGTAAAGACGAATCTCCGTCCACTGTGAAGTTCGTTATCTGGTCTGTAAAGAGTAAATATAACTATCAACACGTGATACAGAAATTGCGTGTATCATTGAAGATCAATTTCAAATTATATTGCATTTAACATGATTAATTTACTCTTAATAGATAGATATAAAAGCTGGAAAATATTAGATAAAAAAGAATAAGAAACTACAAATGTCTATCTTTGAAAATTAAATGATACCTTGAGACACGTAAATTAAATAGGTGTGGAAACTGGAATATAACGGATTCCATGCATACAGAGTAACATTATACAGATCAGGATCTTCGTATGATTTATTCCAGCTCTGGAAGTCATAAAGCCGATAGAGGTCGCTGTCGTCGTTTTGACGTATCTCTCCATCACCGTATGATACCACATACAAAAAATTCGAATTTGGAGTGTTGTCAAATTCGAAAGTAATATTTTCATAAACTTTCTTTACTACCTCCGAGGACAAATTCACGGCAAGTTTATCCCACACATAAACAATAGATGTAAGCGTTTCTGTTCCAATTGGTGATACCAGATTAGCGGTAACAGTATAATTTCCTTGAATGTTGTAATGATGTGTAGTGTTGAATCCAGATTTTAAGTTGAAGGGATCAGTTGATAAACTGACACTTACGTTTGTGTCATCTCCATAGTCTAAAATTAAGCTGACCTCTCCCTGCGGCTGAGCGGCCGAATCGTTAACTTTTACTGCAATTTCAGCAAGTTCTGTTGTTTGGTAAGTTTCTCCAACTTCAAGAGAAATGCCATTGATTCTGTAATAACTGTGAAACAATAGGGAGAAAGTCTGACTGGAGACCAAGTTCGTCACAAGAAGAGTAACATTTATATCTCCCGTATATAAAAAAGTATAATTGTAACTAAAAACTCGCGTTTCGTTATTTGGGTAAAAGAATGTTCTTGAAACATTCTCATGCATCCATCCCACTTCAAAATTGGATCCGCTAGTTAATGATCCAATAAAAACAGCTGATAATCCAACTTCGATATTCTCTTCATAGGAAACCTAAAAGTCACAATTTAAAGGATAAAACGATATCACTACAATTTTGTCACAGGATTTGAAATGCAAGAAACTTACCTGTAGACCTGTTATTTTCTCTTCATAGTGTAAAAGCACAGCAAGAGTTCGAAATTCAGTTCTATTTTGTGCATAAAGGGTCATATTCATGGAATGGTTTCCAAAGGGCACGTCATACAATAAAACCGGAAGTGGGAGGTAGATTAGCTTTATTTTCGCGCCAGTCTGGTTGATAAAGATGAAGCTAGAATTGATCTCTATCTCTCCAATCAGTAATTCAAATTCTGCATCAATCACAGTGTTGTTTAGTGTTTCGAAGTAAAGCAGAACTTCCTTTGATTCCCCGTATATGTACTTAATGACCTCTCGATAATCTTCCTCCAGTGTAAAATTCAGAATCTGATCTGAAATAAGAAAAATTTTTTTTTTACAAATACCGGAAGTAAAGAAATACAGGTTATAATTTCACACTGTACCTGGATGCTTAATAAATTTGATAAGAATAATCTAATGCTCTTTTCTCTTTATATGCTTTTTCAATATTTTTTTAAACCTTTTTTTCACTTCATTTTAACGTTTGACGACACGTTCTTCAAATATCTGCTTTGTTTCTCCTTGTAAAATATTAGAACTATTTTTAGAATATTTTTATTATCTTGTGATGTCTAAACTGTTTTCAAAATGTCTTAGAAAATAATTACAACAAAAATTGTGATATTGGCAATTCAAGTGATTTCAAATAAGATTATATAGAAAACATCTCCCTCTGGTATCTTGCACAAATACCTGGTAAGGTACCTTTTTGTGAGGAAACTTATTAAAGTAGCAGTACTTCAGTGACAAATTCTTGGAAAATATTATATATTATTGAGGAACGTATCGTCTGACCTTAAATGTAATTCTTGTGAACTATAATTAAAAGATAACTGACCTTGTGTAACTTTGATCAAATAAGAGAAGTAATTGGTATAGACTGGATTCCATGCCGTCAAGGAGACGTTATATACCCCTGGGTGTCTGTAAGATTTATTCCAGCTTTGAAAATCATACTTTCTATAGAGATCACTTTCTTGGTTCTGAACATCGGTTCCGTCTCCAAATGAAATGTAATACATGAAATTTGACCGCGGCGTGGACCCAAAACTAAACTCAATATTAGTGTCGACTTTCGATCGAGTAACAGACGATAGATTAATGGCAAGTTCATCCCAGACCTGGACATAGTATGTCTGGAATACGGTGTCCCCCAAAGACCTGAGCACAAGCCGCACAGAATAATTTCCTTGGATGTTGAACTGATGGTTGAAGCTTAAAACTGGGAAAAGATATGTATCGTTTGCAGATAGAATGCAGTTCGAAATGTTGCCATTTCCGAAATCAATACTGGCATTGACCTGTCCTTGTGGCTGAAGTGCATTCTCAGCAACTGTTAGAGATATATTCACATTTTCTAGCGTTTGATACGTTGATTTACTAGTACTTAGCGAGATTCCATTTATCTTGTGAAAAACAACAACAGTAAAACTCTTTGTTGCTATTGCAATTCCGTTCGACACGGTTGTGGTGATATTTCTGGTTCCGAAATCTGTAAACGTATAGTTAAACTGGAAGAACTTCACATTGTTTCCTGTGTAATTACATGTTTGAACAGTGCTCCCATGAACCCACGTAAACTGTAAATTAGACCCGCTGGCCACAGATACGTTGAAATAAGCAGGTTTCCCCAATTCTATAAAACTGTTATATTGAACCTGTAAGTATAAAATTTAAAGAAGATATTTTAAGTAATATGGAAAAATAATACCGTTATATACTGTGGAATAATCATTGCTCATGGGGGACCAATGTTCGTGGATTTCAACGGCTACCCTTACTTACAAATTTACATCCCCCCGAACCATAATTTTGTCAACGTATATTTGTTCATCGAATCCTTTATATAAAACGAGTGACTCACGAAATAGCGTCCCTACAAACTATTAAAATTTTGATTGCTCCCACGAATTAAAATAATTCCATAGAAGTTGAGTCTATTTTTGTCGAAGGGTCCCCACAGTTCACAGATTGTTTCTCTCTCAGATTCTTCTATTTGTAGTCACATAATCTTATCCGAGTTACAACTTTTTAATTAGCTTCTTCAAAGGGGAGATATTTAAAAATTAATGAAAAATTCTTGGCATCTTTTAAAAATCTTCCTCTCAAGAACCACTGAAAGCATCCTCAGGTAGTGTACATGTACATTCAAGTTTGTTCAAATCATGACCTGAGGTGAGGGGAGGGGGGCTGATGCCACAATAGGCGATCAAAGTTTTAAATAGGAAAATATTAGAAAAACCTCTAAAAATCTTCTTCTCAAGAACAGCTAAGTCATGATTGGTCATATTTATATGGAAGCATCCTCACGTAGTGTACATTAAGATTTTTTTCAAATCATGATCCTCGGTGATAGGGAGGGTACACTATGCGCATTCAAGTTTTTACATATGAATATTTTAAATTTTCTTTTAAGAACAGCAATGTCATGATAAGATTAATATGAAAGTAACTTCAGATAACAGATTCAATTCACGGCCTCTAGGGGATAGTTGGGGCCACAATAGGAGATCAGAATTTTACCAAAGAATATATAAATGTAGTTTATGGGAAAATCATATAAAAATCTTCTTCTTTAAAACAGTAAATTGAAGCCATAATTATCTATTTTGATATGGAAACATTTTAGGTAGTGTAGATTCAAGTTTAAACAAATCATGGTCCCTGAGGGTCAAAATTTTACGTATAGGAACCTTTTTAAAACTCTTGCACCAAGCAAAGCAAAGTCATTACAAGTCATATTGATATACAATCATCCTCAGCTCAGCAAGTTTGTTCAAATCAGGGCCCTCTGGAATAGGTTGAGGCTACAATACGAGATCGGAGTTTAACAAGGGAGTATATAGAAACTATGTAGGAAGAAATCTATTCGAGAGTGGCAAGACAACACTAAATCAAATTACTTAAGTTGCGTGGAATCATTATTTTAAAATTATGAGCCAAGGGTTTAAAGTTGAGCCGAAATCAGAGATCAAACATCTCTGCATATTACATGTATACAGGAAAAAATCATCTCCAGAACAGCAGGGACATGTTGATCGTTTTGATATTGTAGCATCCCAATGTTATTTTAATCAACTTTGAATAAATCATAGCTCCCTTAGGGCTTTGGTCCACAATGTGAAGCCAACATTTTTATGAAATTAAAGAAAGGGAAATAAAAACAAGATGTGTTTGTGAAACACTGATGCCCCCGTATGGCAGCTTATGGCGAAGGTTAAAGTTTCTCAAATGCAAGTCAAAATCCAGGCCAAAAGATAAAAAATGTTGATACCCAAAGAAAGGTCTTGTCTCCAGGAATACACCTGTGAAATTTGAAAGACCTAGATACAACTGTTCAAAAGTTATGGCCAAGGTTAAAGTTTTTTAAATAAAAGTCAAACGTCAAGGTCAAGGTCAAAGTGGTTGGTATCCAAAGGAAGATCTTGTCACAAGGATTACATATGTGAAGTATGAAAGCCCTAGCATCAACAATTCAAAAGTTATGGCCAAGGTTAAAGTTTTTCAAAAGTAGGTCAAACTCCTGGGTCAAGGTCAAAGGGTCAAAGTGGTTGGTATCCAAAGGAAGGTCTTGTCACATGGATTACATATGTGAAGTATGAGAGCCCTAGCATCAACTGTTCAAAAGTTATGGCCAAGGTTAAAGTTTTTCAAAAGTAGGTCAAACTCCTAGGTTAAGGTCAAAGGGTCAAAGTGGTTGGTATCCGAAGGAAGGTCTTGTCACAAGGATTACATATGTGAAGTATGAAAGCCCTAGCATCAACCATTCAAAAGTTATGGCCAAGGTTAAAGTTTTTCAAAAGGAGGTCAAACTCCAAGGTCAAAAGGTCAAAGTTGTTGGTATCCAAAGGAAGGCCTTGTCACAAAGAATACATATGTGAAGTTTGAAACCCCAAGCACCAACTGTTCAGAAGTTATGGCCAAGGTTAAAGTCTCATAAAATTTTGCAAAAGTGGGTCAAACTCCAAGGTCAAGGTCAAAAGGTCAAATATGATGGTACCCAAAGAAAGGTCTTGTCACAAGGAATACACATGTGAAATATGAAAGTCATAGCTCCAACCAATCAAAAGTTATGGGCAAGGTTAAAGTTGACAACAGACAGACAGACAAACAGACAAACGGACAAACAAACAGACAAACGGACAAAAAGACAGACAGGACAAAAACAATATACCCCCGGGATCTTTTGATCCGGGGGCATAAAAATATAACGTTGATGAAGAACAGCAGGACCAAAGTGACTTAGATGAGCGTTGTGGCTCATGTTTCCTTGTACATGTTTTTGATCTAGACTTACACGTTTTTGTAATTGACAACATAAGACGACATATCAAATGTACCAAATTAAAAGAATGTATGCAATTTGACATCATTAACACTGTACTATGATTTTGAATTAATCTGTTAAGGAGATATACAAGTCAGTGCACTAAAATACAGATAATTTCTTATTAACGTATTTCTTATTAACGTATTAACAATTTCAGTATAACTACTAGTATCAGCATTACATTCTACCTCATATTGGGTAATATCTTCTTCATATTGCACTTCAACTTCAACATCTTTAGTGTAATTTTCATTTGATAATCTGAACTGCATAGTGTGGGATCCAAATCCAGCAACTGAGAGCATTTGGGAAGTCAAATCAAACTGAATGGTTTTGTTTTCCGTGTCGAATTGGACTGTCTGTGTACTAAGCAAGGTACTATTGTTAATGAATGCTTCAAAGGACGGGGATTCTGATACATAATCAAAGTTAATGACGGTCTGCTTGCCGCTCAGTAATGAAATAGTAGCATCTTGACCATATGATAGCTTAAACATGAAGACACCTGAAATGTAAAATACAACATGTGTATACATCAAATGCACCTTGAATATGTTATTGCACCAGAATAAATCGTAAACAAATCTGTCATGGAATAAAGTATGAAAGAGGTCTGTAATATGAACGTAATGTAAGCTATCTCTGCAGATAAAACCAATTCTTCGATGTTTAATTAACTTACTGTGCAGAAGGAAAACATCTTTAAGATTTTAATTGTTATATCAGTGTCCAAAATTTAGCGATGGATGATTAGGCCAACCTTGTACATGTATTAGCGCAGTACACTAAATGACTGCTCACAAAGTTGTGCTTAATACATATAGAATGAATATTTGGCAGGGTTGGAGGTATATGTTTGTTTTCTGTTTGGACCGAAAAAAATTCTATTAAAATTATTCTGACGTCCTCCAAGCTAACATCATTGTTTTGGAACGAAATTGTTTGACTTATCCTGGAAGAGTTACATTTAAATCTACTTAATAATATCAAGATTCTTTTTCTCTCGATCAAATATGGAAATGATTATTCGGTGAAACTATTTTCAGTTTTGGAAACTATTCTTCTTTTTATCAATGAAAGAATTATAATGTTTTGAAGTTAACATCAAATGAAAAAAAAAATTGCAAACAGTGCATCTAAATCATTTTGATAAATTCAATACTTTTGTTTAAAAATTGAAGCTTTGTCACTTTTCAAAAAAAAAAAAAAAAATTAAAATCATAAATTTTAATTTCAATAACCACTTTAACAAGATGTGTTTGTGAAACACTGATGCCCCCGTATGGTAGCTTATGACGAAGGTTAAAGTTTCTTCAAATGCAAGTCAAAATCCAGGCCAAAAGATAAAAAATGTTGATACCCAAAGAAAGGTCTTGTCTCCAGGAATACACCTGTGAAATTTGAAAGACCTAGATACAACCATTCAAAAGTTATGGCCAAGGTTAAAGTTTTTCAAAAGTAGGTCAAACTCCTAGGTCAAGGTCAAAGGGTCAAAGTGGTTGGAATCCAAAGGAAGGTCTTGTCACAAGGATTACATATGTGAAGTATGAAAACCCTAGCATCAACAATTCAAAAGTTATGGCCAAGGTTAAAGTTTTTCAAAAGTAGGTCAAACTCCTAGGTCAAGGTCAAAGTGGTGGTTGGTATCCAAAAGAAGGTCTTGTCGCAAGAATTACATATGTGAAGTATGAAAGTCCTAGCTCCAACCATTCAAAAGTTATGGCCAAGGTTAAAGTTTTTCAAAAGTAGGTCAAACTCCTAGGTCAAGGTCAAAGGGTCAAAGTGGTTGATATCCAGAGGAAGGTCTTGTCACAAGGAATACACATGTGAAGTTTGAAACCCTAAGCACCAACTGTTCAAAAGTTATGGCCAAGGTTAAAGTTTTTCAAAAGGAGGTCAAACTCCAAGGTCAAGGTCAAAAGGTCAAAGTTGTTGGTATCCAAAGAAAGGCCTTGTCACAAAGAATACACATTCGAAGTTTGAAACCCCAAGCACCAACTGTTCAGAAGTTATGGCCAAGGTTAAAGTCTCATAAAATTTTGCAAAAGTGGGTCAAACTCCAAGGTCAAGGTCAAAAGGTCAAATATGATGGTACCCAAAGAAAGCTCTTGTCACAAGGAATACACGTATGAAATATGAAAGTCATAGTTCCAACCAATCAAAAGTTATGGGCAAGGTTAAAGTTGACAACAGACAGACAGACAAACGGACAAACAGACAAACGGACAAACAGACAAACAGACAAACAGACAGACAGGACAAAAACAATATACCCCCGGGATCTTTCGATCCGGGGGCATAAAAATTCACAAGAAATGGACCTTAAAAGATACACATCCTATATCGCATATACATGTGTGCTTTAACCGTACACGTGAGAAGCCCCTGAGACTAGATCCGTGAATTTTCCTACCTTCCGTTGAACATCTGACTCCAGCTACTGGACAGGAACTTAGTTCCAAACTATGGTTACAGTCTAAGATATCCCACTCCAAGCCCTCACAAGCAGTGCTCATACGTGATGCCTCACCAACTCCAAACTGAGAGCCGTAGTATTCTATAGCGGAGGTCCTTTTAGTGTTGACGAGAATGAATAAAACAGTAATTATGCTTGGTTCTTGGTTTAATCGATAAAAAGCAAATGAAATGAGAATTAAATTACTAGTATTTAATGCCTTATAAGCGTTACTGTAATTTATGTTACTGTGTCATTACTGCTTAGAGAAACAGTGATGAAAGAACAAGAGGTCCAGTAGAAAGGAGTAGAATCTACACTACCTAAAGAAGTTTTCATACAAGTTTCATCTTTAATTTCTAGTTCAGTGCTTCTTGAGAAGAACATTTTAAAGATATTCCTTATATATTTCAATGTAAATAAAACTTAAATCCTCTATAATGACCCCATCTTACCCCGGGGTCATGACTTAAACAACATACGAAAGCTTCCACGTAAGTTTTTCTTTAATAACCTCACTCTATTTTTGTCATTGCTTGATTATCTCACCTTGGAAGGGACTGGCCCATCATTTGAAAAAAAAAAAATAGATTTCGCTTTATTCAAGAGTGTTTTGTGCCAACTTGGAATAAAATTAGTCTAGGGGTTCTTGAGAAGTACGAAAGCCGGATAGGCTCATTTTTGACAAGATAAAAAAATAATTAACTCGTTATAACGAGATAGTTTTCTCGTTATAACGAGTTAGTATCTCGTTATAACGAGTTAGTATCTCGTTATAACGAGATAATTATCGCGTTATAACGAGTTAGTTATCTCGTTATAACGAGTTAGTTATCTCGTTATAACGAGATAATTATCTCGTTATAACGAGTTAGTATCTTGTTATAACGAGTTAGTTATGTCGTTATAACGAGACAGTTTTCTTGTTATTTCGAGACTTAATAGCAATATAGGAATAAAAATGGCTGCAGTTTTAAATGCCATTGAATTTTTAGCAAGTAATTATCAGTCAAATTTAACTTGGAAGAATTGATAAATGGTTGAAAATTTAATTTGCTCTGGGGTTTACTTATGATTAAATCTTGAACTATCTCGCTGTCAATAATCATAGCAACTCTAAGGCGAACACATTTACACATTTTCGTGAACTCCTCCTCAAATTGTTGCATTAGGACGCTATATTTTTCTTAAAATAATATTGCCAAACATACTTGCTTCAAACTTTGGCAATTTATCTATGACAACTATTTCTGATGAATGACACTATTTCGATATGTTTTGGACGACTTACCGGTATACACTTTCATATATCAATTTCTATACCGCTAAAATTAAATATCCGAGACAATATAAGTGCAACATATCGTTTATGCAACATATAATATATAGATTACAGTGTTATACAAATGTTACTTCTGAGATTCAGAAATGTTTTGAAGACGGGGGATGGTGAGACATCAGCAGTTAGATCATAGGCGTAGTAATAGAGGGGCTAATGTCCACACCACCACTTTTGAAAAGGGGGCGGTCAAGAGTATCTTTGTGCCCCTTCATCCATATTTTTTTTTACCTGAGTAAATATCTCCCGAAAATAATGGCGAATACTCGTAGTTGGAATATCAAATCTTTTTTTTTTCTTTTACTTGTCAAATATTTTACTTGGTTTACCCCCCCCCCCCTTGAACTTCGTGACTTAGCTTATGCATATTGTCCACTATAATGAGGAATGGTGAAGCAAAAAATGATATGTGTTACCATGGTAACCATGAAAGTTATTTTTAGAATAATATTGCCAATACCTAATTACATGAGGTCAAATATTTGTTTTTCTTACGTTGTTGATTGAGTTTGATCATGTAACATCTATCATTTGTGACTATGGAGCGTTTTTCAGCATTTTTCAGCATCTAAAATGAATTCCAAATGTACCCATGGTTACCACTTACTTAGAGATAAATTCTAAATAGTTTCTTTATAGCATAAGTGGCAACAAGGTGTCATGTTTTTGGGAGAATGGTTTGTTTGTTTTTCTTAGTCTTTATTAAGGCTTAATAAAGATTTAAAGTAGCTGAAAATCTCATTTTTTTCAACTGTTCTGGCTGTTACCATGGCAACCAAGACACATAGCAACGAAATTTTATTTGATATATGTTTCTGGTGTCAAGTTGTAATAATGGGCAAAGTTTCATCAAAATCGGTGACCATGCGTGGCAAAGAAGTTTAAGTGGTTACAGAGAATCGCTATTAAAGCCTAACAAATGGTTTCATATCCACATGATTTATTCGGAATATTCAAAATAATGGGATTATTATTGCGACAAATATTACGCAAACATTATTATAATTTTAACAAATTCAAGAAAGCTTGAACAGGGCAGTTAAATCAGCCAGAGTATATCATTTTTTTTCTGATCTCCTTGTACAAGTTGACAAAATTTTGATGTTATATACATTCCATTTGAAGATGACACTAATTCTATTTTGCAATTTTAAGGTATAACACAACAACATGAGGCGGTCACGTTTCCGTATATTTGTCTTCGGTCATTCCAATAAACAATACTAATCAAAGGCATAACACAAAAAAACTAGTATGCTGTTCCATAAAATCTTTATCACGCACACTTCAAACAAATTTGATCGACTTGCTTCTGTATATTTCCTATAAATAATGGTCTATTCTTTACTTAGATATATCAATTCTTAAACTAGATCAATTTTTATCTCGTTATAACGAGATAATTATCTCGTTATAACGAGATAACTAACTCGTTAAAACGAGATAATTATCTCGTTATAACGAGATAACTAACTCGTTATAACGAGATACTAACTCGTTATAACGAGATAATTATCTCGTTATAACGAGATAACTAACTCGTCATAACGAGATAACTAACTCGTTATAACGAGAAACTAACTCGTTATAACGAGATTCTAACTCGTTATAACGAGATAACTTATTCGTTATAACGAGATAACTAACTCGTTATAACGAGATACTAACTCGTTATAACGAGATAACTAACTCGTTATAACAAGATACTAACTCGTTATAACGAGATAACTAACTCGTTATAACGAGATAATTATCTCGTTATAACGAGATACTAACTCGTTATAACGAGATACTAACTCGTTATTACGAGATAATTATCTCGTTATAACGAGTTAAATTTTTTTTTGTCTTGTCAAAAATGAGCCTATCCGGCTTTCGTAGAGAAGAGATTAAAAATGTGAAATGTTTACAGACATACGGACAGATGGCATACAGACGGACTCCGAACAGTGGGTGTTCAGAAAAGCCTACTTGAGCTTCAGTTCAAGTGAGCTAAAACAATACGAAACATTTTGCTAAGAATCTCTTTTTAGGGAGAAATATGGCTCCTTCATCTAATTTTATTTTCTTTGCTAAGATTTCTTTAAAAATTAATTTACCGTACATACTCGCCTATAAGTCGGTCCGCTAATAAGTCGGCTGTATATTTTTAACGTTTATTTTGGAGGGATTTGCCATTAACTCTTGTACATGTATAAGTCGGTATGCAACTTTTGTTTTGGCCAGAATGTTGACAATTTCAGATCAATGCTCCTATGATTTTACTTGAGATTCTAATAATATTTTTGGAAATGACTCTGATATTTTTTTTTATTCTCAACAAAACAAATTTATACCAATAATAATCATATGCATTTAACTGTTTCAATAATTATTTTGGAAAATTACACCAATTTTCAATCTTTTATCTTCTACATATCAATTTAATAAGATTATCGTCGAAGATGTTTCATAATCACACCCTTCAGTCGTCAAGAAAAGTAACAATGTTTCTAAGACCTATAGGTCGGACATACATGTAGAGTTTTGGGACCGAAATATCCGACTTATATTCTAATAGATACGAGTAAATGATAGTTCGTTACATACACTGTAATCTGAAAATTCATGTTCTCATATTAAATAAAACTCTTCATTCTCTGTCTGCCTACCTGGCATATCCAGCAATAAAACAGACCATGTTCGCTGTTGTATTACTCCAGTTGGTGTCACACAATGAAACCCAACTCCCTGAGTAAAACACTTCTACTGACCCCTCAAAATGAACACCACCCCCTCGAAGACGCACAGGTGTGTATTCTTTAGGAAAAATGAAATAACTATTAAGAGTATTGAAACATTGATCATAAAAATGGTTATAAGACGCACAGGTGTGTATTCTTTAGGAAAAATGAAATAACTATTAAGAGTATTGAAACATTGATCATAAAAATGGTTATATAACGCAAGTTTCCAAAAGAATGATAAGGTAAATACTTGTATTTGTTGAAACTGTTTAGATATAAAATAGGAGGAGGTATTTTAAAGAAGAGATTTTTTTTAAATTTAAACAACATAAAAAGATATGAAAAGATGGATATACTAAATACCTGTGATGTTCAAAATATAATTCACGGAAGTTGTGTATATTGGATTCCAAGCATTCATTGTGACGTTATAGAATCCAGATTTTGAATACGTTTTTAACCAAGGAGACATATCATATGAACTATATAAGTCCAAATCTGAATTTTCTCTCGTTGTTCCATCCCCATACGTAACAAAATATCGAAAATTCGAATTCGGTGGATTACTGAATTGAAACTGTATAATTTCGTTGACTTTTGCCGCACTTTTTGAATAAAGAAAGACACTCAATTTATCCCATATATAAACAGTATATGAAATGTTTTGTGAGTGTACCAGCGAAATTAGAGTCACAATGACCGTGTAATTTCCTTGAATTGTGTACGAATGGCTTAACGTATCTAAAAGCAGAGGGGTAGATATCTCATCCGAAAGAATCAAATTGTCCACATTCAACACCCCCTCCGACCTCTCCGCGTCTCCCCACGTCACACTGAAGTTCACCAATCCCTGAGGTCTTTGAGCCTTGGAATCCAGTTCAAAAGTCAATGTTACATTTTCCGAAGTGTTGAATGTTCTACTAATATTGTTGGTGGATATTCCATTAATGACGTAGTGCTTATATATAACAAGCATTTCTGACACCTGTGATACGTCATTTGCAATAATGATCTCCAAGTCGATAGCGCCAGTTTGAGTAAAGTTATACGTCCAGTCAAATACTAGCGCGTCAGAATTCTGAGAGCAGACGACGGTGGTTTGGTTTTCTATTATTGCTATAGTTGTATGATTGTTTCCGCTGTTGAGTGATATGTTAAAAGTCGTCAACTCCCCATAAATGGAGTAGGTAGAATATGTTATCTAAATTTAAACAGAAAAATCAAAATGCATTAAGACTATTTTAAAAAATTCTAGGTGCTATTAAGCAAATGAAATGTGACTTTTTTTTTTTGCATATTGTTTTCAAAAATTATTCCATGTATCACCTTACTAGGGTAGTGTATCACAGTAAAACACTGAGTTTACTTTTGGTTATCTCTGAAATTTGTGATGTGCAGTCCGAGTCTATGTTACACACACACACACACCCTCACACACACACATAATTCAAGCAGCATGCACCAGTATACCCAGTTTGTTATTTAAGTAAACAATATAAACTCGACTTTGTCTAGAAAACGTTTCCTTTGAACTATGAAAAAAATAGAAATGATACAAATAAAACTTATTTTTACCTGTAGACCACTAATTTCCTGCAAAGACGACGTACTCAATTCATCAGGAGGACTTGTTGTTGTTGACGTAGCTTCAATGTCACCGGAAGTTGTTGAGGTTGATTCATCTATAGAGGGAGATGTTGTCGTAGTCTCCGATGTCGTTGTTGTTCCAGAAGTTGTTGTGGTATATGTTGTTGTAGAAGATGTTGATTCTGTTGCATTTTCCACGACGGCTGTTGGTTCTGATGTTATTTGTTCTGTTGTGGAAGACTCTGTAGTTGATGCAGAGGTCACTCCTACATTAAACAGATTGTTGTGTATTGTAATACTATATATGATATATGATTATATAGAATGTATTATCATATCTACATCTGTGTTTTAAAGTCGCTTGGTCCGAATGCTGTGTTTAAAGAAATGTTTGTGAGTGAAAAAATAATTCTTCATAGAAAGTTTAGAGCCTCTTTCGTAAAATATATCAAGGGAGTATGGGATACCTCCGTGTTATGACGTACTTCCGTTTGAAGCATTGTTTTGATTTGGTTCAGTGCTTATTATCAGGTCAAAATTTGTAGATATACCGTTTAAAAGAAAGCTCTTAAGCTATTTTAATGCAGGCTTTCACAAATTGCCATTTTATTTAAAATAGACAAAAAAATTTGTAAATATGTAACTATAATAAATGTAATATGGACATTTAAAAAGAAAACCCTATTAAATATCTTTTAAGCATCGCTACTTTTGAACACTTTTAAGCAAAAGATGACTGCATTTTAATGTGTGGTGAGGCATGAAAAAGTATGATTACTTCACATTGTGCCGAATTATTACCAATCAATTATCATGTTAATTAACCAGAATTGGTCTTCTTTTTATTTTATTCATGAAGTAACTGTTTTTTTTTACAAATCAACTAGCTGTTGTATATAGTCCCAAAACATTTTGTCCCCCGCTTTCACTGAAAGTGGGGGATTTTAATTTGGGTCTGTCTGTCCGTCCGTCCATCTGTATAATGTTGTCTGTTTGGTGACATATGTGAATCACCACTTTCCTTTGTAAATATAAGGCCGACCATCAGGTGTAATTTTCCCCTAAGTAAGATTTAGTTTCATATCTATAGATCTTTGCAGGCCAATAATTTCTTATAATCATTTTAAGAAGAAAATGATAAAGTTGGTTATATCAATCCAAACCCGAGATCCTGGAATCAACCAGGTACGGACCCACCTTACATTACCTTAAATATCCATGTTGTGTTTGATTTGTCAACATGGGTTTTGACTGTGATTTCTCATATAAATATTGTTGTTAACCGAAAAAAAATCCCAGTCGAATGATTTATTTTTATACATTTTTATGTATATATGGATATTTATTGTGTAAGAATAATATGCGTCTCAATTGGACCAATTGATTTTAAAACGAAGCAAAAAAATATTGATTTTTACATTTTATTTTATATAGCCCATATCTTTTAAAAATCGTTTGATGTGAGTGTGCTTTAAAATATTACAGTTAATTCCAAACTGTCCCAACAAATTAAAAAAAGGAAAATTTATGTGTGTTTTCATCTTTCTTTTTGACAATGTTGCATTAAATCAAGGAAGCTTTTCTGCTAGTTGAATTTATTTTGACACGCAAAATAGGCAGATATTAATTCTCTGCATTACTCACAGCACTTTTGTGTTTGTTTAAAATTGTTAGTGATTCACTAATCAAATAATGGAGCTTAAAGCATGGAAGATGATCATGAATACCTAACGTTTTCAGTCAGCATCTATATTGTAAGGTTTAATGCAGCCCAAGTTTTGTGTAAAAATTCCAAAACTTCCAAAGACCTTGGCCGCGCTTTTCTAAAATTACACAAGTATTGCAATGTCCCACCAATCCTCCAGTGTACTTGTACCCTTATTGTTTTAGCTATAATTCAATTTAGTCTAGCTAATTAATTTTATAAAACACTGAAAATTCTTTACAGCCATTCTTTGTTAAAAGTACGCTAATTCAAAGATATATTTAAAGATATCTCTGTTGGATGAATTATTTACCCCATACACAGAATCATGTTTGTAAAAGTAATGTCTGTTATGCATGATTGCCAAAATCATAAAAATGGATTTAAAAAAAATAAAGATATTGTGAAAAATATCAGAAAATTCACAATAACCAAATCTAAGTTCATTTTTTATGAAGTAGAAATTTTAACTTCAATCCTCACATCCAGTATCAGTATAATGACTAAAATGAAAGTATGCGTGAACAATGTATGAAAGAATCATGTGTAAAAAGTACTTGGGATAAATTGTATTTTCTTGCGATTTATGTCTTAAATACCAAATCAAAAAAAAAATGTAATAATAATTTATCATAATGGAGAGAATCAAATAAATCTCCTTTCAGGGATGGGCACGATTACTGAAAAATGTAATCGATTAATAATTGATTACTTAGAGGAATTTTGTGTAATCGATTATTAATCGATTACACTCATTTTTGTCCTGTAATCGATTGTAATCGATTACTTTGGAAGATGTAATCGATTAATAATCGATTACTTCCAAGTTTTTATCCCTTCAAATATCAAAGCAATATTTAAATGGTAAATGTTGATGTTATCCACTGAAGTTTGAATGTATTCCTGCAGTTTCAGTGCAGATTCTTTTAAGGTTTTATTCTGGCTAACATTCTCACTAAATGCCCAAATGAGGGATTTTCTACCATGGAAAGTGGAGACATGATCCCTACAATAAAATATGCCAAGGAATTAATTATTCCTTTCAACCTTAGATCTGTACTTCCATATTTATTGACTTGTTGAAAAAATTATTTAATATCTTATTGTGAATTACCTCATTAGAAGTATTTGGGCTGTCCGTATGTTGATAGTACACATTAAACATTCCTGTACGTGTCTTTTTAAAAAAAAATAAGTAAATTAGAACGAACTCTTAGTAATTAACATGTAAATTAAATGTGTCTTTAAGTAATTTAACTAATACATGTAACACAGTTTTATTCTGTATTGAAATAAGTGTTTTGAGAGCTATTAATTCTTTTAATAATATTGTTTGTCTTCAATGGAATGATAGTTAAACACAAAGTAGTTCACAGTTTACACCTCATTATCTGCAATCAGGGATATGTCTCAGTCAATTAATTAGCCAATTAAGATAAGCAAACACAGTGACACTTACTCCCTCTCTTACAGGCACTTATAACCCCTCACTGATATAAAAGCAACCTTACAATTTTGAATGAAAACATGAGAATGATTTTGCAAATTTTAAAGTTACTAAAACACAAGTTTGAAGTTGTTTAAACATTTTCAGATGTGAATAAGTAAAAAGTATAAAGGAGACTCCTTTACTACAAAAATGCAGTGATATAGATATGTTTTTGGACTTTTTAAGAAGGTTGGATCCTGCTATCAAAAGTCTTAAGACTTTTTGTCAAGTATATTTCTAGTATCTACACGCCTAGCTTAATTAAAAATCAAAACAAAAATTTGAGGTCCATAGGCATCTTTTGGCGCTACGGTACATTTGATATGACATTTTTGCAGTGGAATTTCATTTTATTCACAAATCACTTTTTCGAAGTTTTTCCTCATACATGTTAATATTTTTTTATCCAAATAAATCATTGGACCAATTACAGTCTCATTCTATCTTGATAAGACACATTTAAAATTGTGACTAAGGAAATGTGTCAAATCAATTCGCAAGATCAATTATTTGACCTTTTTGCACTAACAAAATGCCATTTTTCTTGATTAAAATTCAACAAGAAATTTATTTTAAAATCTTAATTATTACTGAATTTAAGCAGAATGGTCATCGCTATCTTATGTATTCAGGAAAGAAAATTAAAAGAGGGGGTCTAAGAAGAAAAGTTTTAGTTATTACTTAGAAAGTGTTAATTTTAAGCTAAAGATAGAACTGGGTTTTTTCTGGTCTTTCACAATATATTGGCTATAATTGTCACAATATGATGATATAACTCATAGTATCAATTTAATATATGATTCTGGTCAGAATAAAACATGTCACCGCACACAGTAACTCTCTGTGCAACCTGCATGTAAAAATAGGAATTCAAACTTAACAGTTCTATAAATTGAAAGAGAAAATTTTATCATCATCTTCTAAAAAAACCTTCCGCCACAAAGTATAGTTCCTCCGTGAATGCTTTCTGCATGCGTTTTTGTCGTGGCTTTTTAATTGAATATACTTCATTTTGATTGTAGAATCCATTTTTTAAAAGAACAAACATACGATGCAGAATTTCTGAATAGATATCCAGATGAAAATCAGCTCAAAAGATCTTGATCGAACCTTCTTGAAAAGAAGTCTTAATGAAATATATGGAGATAACGAACAGTATTCAAGCTCGAAAGTTGCTTTCAGACTTTTAACGAGAAAATAAAAGAAGTTTTCTGTCAATTTGATACCAGTTAATAATAATAATAATAATAATAATAAAAGAGATCATCAAGGATTTTCAGCGTCTTTGTAATACTTTTCTTTTTCTTTTTTCTTAGTAAAGTGGTACTAGCAGAGTATACATGGATCGCATGTATTGGAAAATGTTCTGCGCCTTGTTTTAAAATACATTGTTGGATTTTAAATGGCTACTGTAGAGATTAAATGAATTAAGTCAATACTTTGTCCATGTTATTAAGTAGAAAAGTTGAAATAATCAATAAATTGGTAATTTTATGTAATTCGTGCAATAAATCAGGTAATAGAATCCTTTTTGGCACCTTCGTGGGGTGTCACCAGACTCGGCTGAAATACGTGCTTCTCAAAAGGAGGATCAAATTATTTTAGGCCCTGGGTCGATAGAAGCGAAGTTAACTTCGGATTACATCGTTAAATTCCACAAATATTAATTTTTGTGGCAAGCGTGAAAGCAATGCGATATCTATTCCCTCAATTTTCATGTAATTCAGCTTTCTTTAATTTGTTTTTAACTATTAGTTGAAATTTTCAAATATTAAAACAAAATATAGAACCTTACTTTCGTTTTGCTTTCTTGCATACGGTTGACTATATTTGAGACATGTTCATATATTTTTTTTACTTCTTGTGATTGAAAATATTATGTCGTTCGCACGAGATATTATGTCGTTCACACGACAAAATATCTCTTTCGCATGACTTAAATTATTTCGTTCAGCACAAGATACATGTATTACGTCGATGTTTGTCGTTTGCACGAGATATTTTGTTGTTCGCGCGACTTATTATCTCGCTTTCACGACATTTTATCTCGTTCGCACTACATTATTTTCTTA